CACCATATGTTTTCTATACAATACAGGCTGAAAACATCTGTAAAAATGAAAAACAAAACACGTTTGCATTTGAAATCTCGACTTCCAGTGACTAACCAGACTATCACAAAGGCTAGCTGGCATGACGAGTGGTGACTCGGAGGTGGTGAGGGGTAGTGAAATGGAGCACAAAAGATGCGTGGCCCTGACTCCCTGATGACAGCACCGCTTGGCATGTTGAGGACAGCAGGGCAGACAGGCAAGGCTGCTGCGTTTGATCTTTATTTGCTTCGTGTCTGTTTTGTATTTAAGAGCTTCTCCGAGCGTGAGGTATTGGATACAGAGAATACGGCTCAGGGCCGGTCCACTTTTTAAAGGCACAGGATCCTTCTTCAAAGCTAAAGAGGAAAACTCTACGGTGAGTGGAAAAGAGGGTCCCCCAGTGGCACAGATTAGCTCTGATGAAAAGAGCTTGCTCTCTAATTACACATAATCATGTCAGTGGAAAATCAGGAGTGTATGTGGGGAGGGTTATTATCATTTTAAAGCACTTTGAATTGCTTCGCCGCTGACATATGCTACACAAATACATTTTTTACTGACTTTTTACTTTACCACTGAAACCTTTTACCTCCCTATAAATGGACCTTTAACGTAAAACTGGGGTCAGGTGGCTGCAGGACAAAAACAAACACACAGGATCCCCTCAGCTGACCATTCAACACTCATGACCTCCCTAAAACATTTTGCACCCCAATGACAGCAAACAACTGTGACTTGTTACACCTGAGGAGCAGACTGGCTGTGTATCATCACTATGTGGTCTGATCTCACAATCTGGCATAAGGCACTGACAGGGAGGCATTTCTTCTTTCAAACGGTGAATATTAATCTTTTCACAATTCTGTTGCACATTCCACCCAAGACACACAGCAGAGTGGCCACAAGCTGGAGCCAGCAGCAGCTGGACAAGGTGATGCTGGGAATGCTCAAGAAAGTACAGCCTGTACAAAGGTTCAGCACAACAGAAAGAAAAAGTGCTGTAATATCATTTTGGGAGGATATTTCTTAACTTTTATTACCTTATGATCCCCAATGCCTTATCTAACGTTGTCTAGTTCTTGTCTGCTCTGTGTGCTTTGGCTCTCAGAACAGTACACACCCATCATATGTTAAAAGCCAGTTGCTTTTTTCATATACAATAAAATGTGTCGTTAATGCTGCACAGTTCAACTAATAAGAAATAAGAAAGAAGAAAACAAACAGAAGATATGAAACAACTCAGTTTCGTAAGTGAACACACTTTGTTAAACCACACTTCCACAACCCCCATGCTTACCTTGGTGATGTCTACTCTCTATTCGCCAAAGCCATGAGACTTTTAGACTATTTTAATGCTATAATCTTTTGTTATTTCTCTTGCTTTTGGGTGTATTTAGGGACAATGCGGTATTGAAAAATAAATCATTTTTAATCAGTCTTCGGATCAAAGCTGGTGTTTTGTTTTCGTGCAAAATTTACCATCGGGAACATAAGCGTCGTTAGACCTATTTAAGGGTGGCTTCAGCCACCCTTTCTTTGGCATTAGCCACCCTATAATTATTTTGCGATTTTAAAAAATGTATATATTTTTTCTGTATTTATTTTTTCCTCATATTTTCCCAAAACAAATGCAGTAAAGGACCGAATAAAAGCCATAAAGAAGACAAGTTAATCTGAACAATCATAGGCGTAACTTCCTTAAGGACTGGTGTGGACATGTCCCCACCAATATTTTGTACACGTATTTTGCTTTCGGTGCTGTGTATATCTGATTAAAACCCCATTCATGCCGCTCCTCAGAAAGAAAATAAAAAAAAAGTTCTCCCCGCTGCTCACCGTCCACAAACCCCGACAAAAAAACTCAGAAAAAGGAATCTGTTGCCTCTCGCTTTCTCCCCATCACCCCCCTCCAACCTCTCCCCATAACATTTTGAAGATATCCGCGGGTGACGGGTCGGGTTCGGTCGTCATCCTAACGGGTTCGGGCGGGTGCGGGTTGGTAAAACTCGACCCATGCAGGTCTCTAAGCTACACTACATTCAGTATCGTTGCCATAGAAACAGACAACAGCGCCAATATATCAGAATTATACTAAAACACACGCAAATAATTTCCCACATAAAAACAGGACTTTCAGTCCATTACAGTTTTCAGTTTTTAGAGGGTTGTTTATTTTGCGTTTATTAAGTGATGACTGTGGTATATTAGCTTTCACTGCTATAAGCTTTAGCAGCAGTGATTGATTAATTTAAACACCTGCTCTACTGATGCTCTATCGGAGTTGGTGTTTAGGTTGAACATAAAGAATACCTTTTATTTGAAGCTTCTTGTAGCTACTGTTTTAATCCCGGCTTTACTTAAAACTTTTTCCTGACTTTGATAGTGTTGCCATTCAGTAGCAAGCACTGCGCCCCTTTTTCTTTTATGTCCACGTACATTTAAGATTTAGCGTGTTAAGTTGACAACTCATGAGCAAGCTGCTTTTTGCAATCTAGCAGGAAGGTAAGGATAGGATCTTGCAGGTGTGACGTCACTCTGCAGGGGGTCCAAAGATAAAAGATTTAAACAATTTTGGCATTGGAATTTCACATTTAAGGGAGTTAGAAAGTTCACTTAGTAAAATTGCAAATAATAAATCTGATTACCGATTACTTTTAAGCTGGTTGAACATACTGCGACAGACTGGTGACCTGTCCAGGGTGATCCCACCTCTCACCCAGAACGTGGCTAGAGATATGCACCAGCACCTCCTGATCCCACTGAGGGATAAGGTTAAAGAAAATGGATGGTTGAACATAGTCCGCTCTCCCAGATTCTATCAAATCAGTATTGATACCCTCAGGGGCGGATTTAGGAAATTTGGGGCCCTAGGCAAAGACAGGCAGGGGGCCCCCTGAGAAGTAAACCCATAAAACAGACCCATTCTACAGATAGAGAAATGTTAATAGAATAGACATCCATTATTTGTTCTAGGTTTTGTCCCTCTCTTCCTGTCCCTTTTTCCTCTCTATTTATCAGCGTTCTGATGGCATTTTAGCCAAAGGATTTTTATCAAAAACATAATTAATGTGCACAAATAAGGATTAGTTGTATTAACCATACATGGAAACAGAGTTTTATGGGGCCCCCAGAACTTGGGGCCCTGGGCAACTGCCTAGTATTGCCTAATGGTAAATCCCCCCCTGGATACCCTGCTGGTGGATGTTCTTGACAGAAAGACGGAGTTGCTTAATCATATTCTGCTTAAGGTCCCATAAGATCTTGTCCGAGTCCTGGTTTAAAAGTAAATTAATTTTAAAAAGTGACCCAAAATTGACTGTCAATAAATGTTCTACAAAATTGATATATTTATTTGATTTCTTTGATTTGTGCTGTCTGTTTAGATTTATGTGATATTTTTTGCACAAAATATATAAGTGAATATTGTAACAGTTATGTTTTCAACTGTAAGCATTAAATTGATAAATGTTATTCGCATTTTTTTGGCTTTATCCTTTCCAACAAAAAAAAAAAAGGCGTCGCGCAGGTAGCTCCCTTTCCTTATGAGCCGTCCCCACCAACTTTCAACACAAAGTTACACCCTTGTCTTAGACAACGCCTTAGCAGGTGCACTGAAAAAATTCGGCGCGCGCATTGCGCGCGCATTATCTTCTAGGGGCTAAGCCACCCTTGTCTCTTAAACCTAGAGACGCCCCTGATCGGGAATTATTGCGAAAAATTGAAGTTGGCAAATTCAGGCATAGAATAGTGATATCTGGAGGTTTGATTTGATATAAAAAGCTTGTTTATTCCACTCTCTTATTTTACAGCTATGCCATATGTTTTCAGTTACTGTTGACTACTTTCACATTTGAATGACTTTAATAAATGGCAGTATTTGCTAACCCAATGTGCTCTAAATAAACGGAAAAAGTTTAAGACATTTATTTACAACTCTTTCAGTGAAAATGTTGACTCTAGAGTACTAGTTGCATTATCTTGTTGGGTGAGGAGCAGCTAATCAGACGTTAGGGTTTCATGAAATATTTAATCCAATCTGTAAATAATAACATTTCAAAATACATACAAACACATTCGCTTATTAAAATATTCTACATTTTTTGTTCAATATTTAATTAAGGCACATATATTAAGAATACATTTATTAAATACATTCTGTATTTCCAATTGTAGAAAATAACTGACACACTTAATATTTTGTTTTTTTTTTATTGTATTGTGGCACTTATAACCCTGCATACTCTTCTGATACCTTTGCACAATTGAATCCCTTTCTAGCCTCTATACTCTAACTTAAAAATTTTTTTGTAAAATCCTTCATAAACAGATATTTATTTCAGGTTTTCAAAGCCATCAAAAAAAAAAGTCTTTGCATGTGGCTCTGACTTGTTCTAGTTTTTGTCTTTTTTTGTGGCATGATGTCATTTTGAATGTGATAAAATGTAAGCAAAATCTGTTTAGGAATCTTTTAATTCTCTGTTTAGGATACGTGTTTGTACGATCTCCAAGCTTCTTGACTTGAACGAGCACAGTGTTACGCAATACGCACCGACAGAAATGTACCATTCCATATGTGACATCGATGTTCTTCTGCAACTTTGATTCCAAGCCACCTCATGCTTTTCTTTAATGATTTTTCACATATTTCTTGTTTTTTTGAGATGAAAATGAAATAACGGTTGCAAACTACAAAAAGGAAAATTGTTAAACAACACAAAAAAGACCATATAAATGCAAATATTCAATAGTTAATACATTAAATTATTGCAATGTTAAAAGAAAGACAAAATTCTCGTAATTTAGATTTTATTCAGTTTTTCTGAACTGCAGAGTTTTGCACATGTATGCTTTCCAAAGCTAATACAATTTCATTTTATTTTAATGTAGAAATTTACTGGCATTGTGACATATTTGAAATTTTTTCTCAGTGAAATGCTAAAATGAAAAATTCCATTGTCCCAACAGATCAGACACTCAGCTTTTTCAAGTACAACAGCACCATTTTATGGGCTTGATTTATACATTTGTTTTTTTTAGCTGGATTCTTTCAGCAAGAAAATGCAGCTTCATTGCCATTGGAACTGAGGAAACTAACATGTGATTGGTAAATGATATGTAACAGTCATCACTGTGTAAGAACACAGTTTCCTCCTTATAGATCAACTATTTACCATCCAGGTAGGAGAGTTACTTACTGTAAAGTTTTATTTAATCACATTTCATAAAATAATTAAACCGTTGAATTTCTGAAATGGCTATCATAAAAAACAAAAAACAAAAAAAAACGACCAAACAGAATATTGACATCATGCTAAAATGCAAATAAGGCTGAAGTACTACCAAGACTATTCAGGCTGATTAAAGTGGCTAAATATCTTGTATTTTCATTATTACTGGTAAAAAGCTCTAAATCATACAAGCCAAAGTCTTGAGTAGCAGACACTCCAAAAAGAGGAATTTCAAATATTTTATCCACTGCCTTTTCAAACAGAAAACAAGAAAAGCTCTTTGATTTGAAAATGCTAAAAATGTTAAAATAGTCGCATCTCTTTAGCAACACAACATCCACCCTGTTTCCATGGATTATAGATTATGTACAAAAGGAAGGATGTATTGTTTAACTGGGAAAAAGTAATAAAGAAAAGTAATGTTAAGTCACCGTAATGACGTATCAAGTTTAATCCAGGTTACACTGGAGAGCTTAGAGGGTAAACTGGCATAGAGTGCACACTGAAGGCCGGCAGTGGCTTCCAGTATGCAAAGGGAAGTCCTATAAGTGCACTAAGTATTAGCTAATGCTTCTCACTTCTTCCTGAACACCTGTTCAAACAATGAAAGCTTATTATCTCTGGCATTGCAAAGGTTGTGGGTAGTTGGGGGTTCTGTACATGTGAGTGAGCTCATGGCTGTGTGCATTTTTTGAGTTTGTATAGGAGTATTGCTAAGGAAGCCCAGAAGAACATAGAGAGGGGTGAGGAAAGGGGGTTCAATCCAGTACCCCCATCAGCCTACACACCCCGCCCTCGATCGCCAGTGACTGGCCAGGAACAGTTCCAGGAGGCAATCTGGATATGTGGGTCTGCAGACAACAAAAACAAGAGTTATTGATTCAAGTTAAAACGAAATCTATTTTCAACACTAAAAATGGATGGATGGATGGATGGATGGATGGATGGATGGATGGATGGATGGATGGATGGATGGATGGATGGATGGATGGATGGATGGATGGATGGATGGATGGATGGATGGATGGATGGATGGATGGATGGATGGATGGATGGATGAGCTCATTAGCAGGACTGCAGATTCTTAAAGACCAACCTTTAGGTTGAAAGCACGGTTATTGGTCTGCATTAAGCATTTTCTGTAATTCATACAATATATATATATTTACAACTATTGTGTGTGTCTAAAGGTGGAATTTAGCCATTTGATTTATATATTAAAAAGGGAAGTATGGGAAAAGTGTGTTATTTCGAAAGGAGGGAAAAAAGCAACATTCTAACAGCAAAACATGTCAGATAATGATCTAAATCATCTCAATATTCTACAGTGATTTCCAGTTTCGGTGCTACATGTCCCAAGGCAGCCATCCCTCTTTATAACATTTATTCATTAAAAAAAGAGTTGCACGCAGAAAAGACGATCAACTAAATAAAAATAGAAACATGTATAGAAAAAACAAAACAAAACAGAGTACATCATTGAAAACAATACATCAGTGGATGTAAACAAAAACAAGATCTACCGGTTTCATTGTTATTTTAATGAAGATTAGATATTTTTAGATATTCTTTTTTTTAAGTATATACAGCGAGGGGTATGACCCAGTAACTTGCAATGAGTGAGTAGATTCCCTAAAGATTTTTACACAGTATTTAGACAGTATTTGTACCTAGGAGGACACTGTTTTTTTCTTTTTTACAGTTTGAACAGAATTAAAAGTTGTAAGGAAGTCACAAACACAGCTTGGAAGGCATGAGCTATATTTCCATTTAGAGATCAAAGGTGACTGACTCGCCCTGTGCCATTAATTACTGTCATCCTCCTTCCTTTATCTCGACACGAAAGGCTAACACTGACGCCATTTTTGAGTCAGGCCGTTGAACTGGTCCCACATAATTCACCCAGATGCAGGAGTTGACTGGTGCTTTTTGGTTGGGCTCAGACTAATCCCCAGAGCACCCCGAGGGCAACTGTCACCACATCGGGACTGCAACAGACAAGGCCAACTACACATGGCAATACTCTCAGGGGGTCATTATGCCTCCAAGTGTACGCCTCCGAGTCCATCCTCTTCCCTTCATCTTCCGAAAATGAGGTTAAAAAAAGGTCTCATTTAAACTGTCGGATAGGAGGTCCCCGTCTGAGTCATGATCAACTTATGGTGACAAACTAAATGTTTTCCTTTTGATGTTTGCATGCCAGTGAGAAACAGCTTTCACGCCAAATCCACAGCTGAAAATCCCCCCAGAGCACAGTTAACTGACTGCGTGAGTTTATGAGAGTGTCAAATAAAGACAGTTTAAACTTTAGATGCATAACATGCACGGTCCATTAACGAGTTAATCCAACCAAAGACTGAGGCTGGGGGTTATAATGCAAATATGGACCAGTCTTACTTGCATACAACATTTATGACAACTCTTATGATGTGGCATAAATTTTACCTACTGGAGGATTTTACCTCAACTTATAATATTAGTCTGAAATCTGAATCTGTGGTGATAACAAAGCAGGTGAGGAATAAAGATACTGTTTTTACACACATATCCACTGTAGATAACGGGGAAACTTTACATCTGAAAAATGAGATTAGCGTGTATAAAAATCTAATCAGGCTCATCTAAAAGCCAATTTGCGGGCTGTTTCTCTTGAAAATAATAGCAGAAAATGTTTGCATTGAGTTATTATAACAGACAGCAGGTCCACAATACGTCTTGATTTAGTCCAGTTTAACTCTGAAAATGGCTTTGATCACAAAATTGTAACCTTCATATGTATGTGGGGGTGACTAGCCACAATACAATAAATTAATAAGTTATGAAATAATTACTTACATTTATTATTATCTATTACAACTGGAAATGCATAGTCAAATGCATCCTCAGTTAAATGTATTCATTTTTTTGTGTGCCTCAGAACAGGAACGTAACATAATATATAAATAAAACAAATGTATTTAATTGAGAACCAAATAATTAATTATATACTTGTATTAAAAACATGTATTAATTTTCTGTTTTAATAAATTAATGAAATATCTGAATAATTGTTCCATATGTTTTTTATTTATTGTATTGTGGCATTCACCAGCTTCCATGTAAATTACTCTAAAGAGACTTTTCTTTTTTTTTTTTCTTTTTTTTTTTTTTTTACAAATGACATAATAAAATTAAGTGTTGGCAAAATTAATACATTTGAATAGCATGCTTGAAAATATCTCCAGAATATATTTTTTTGACATTTTCATAGCTAGAAAATTGAATTCTGCTCAGTTTGATGCTCTTTTTTTAAAACATTAGACCATTTGTTTGGCTAACATGAATTTTCTCATTAGCTTTTAAGATAGCAGACATAAATGAATATAACAATCATTACGGTAGTTAAGATTTCAAGATTTAAAAGAAAAAGGAGTAAAATATGGTCAAATACGCCTTCTGGGTCATATTTAAATCAAATCTTATTTCATTTCCTTCTAGAGGTTTCTGTTTAAGAAAAGCGCTGTATGAAAAGACGTTTAAAGAAAAAGCAAGAAGACATGCAAACCTGTTTACAACTTGTTACTCTGTGACCAAAGCAGCCACATGACAGGACAACAGCTGTCTCAAAATACACCTTCAACAGCACAGCTCATTGTTCATATGTTTAAGAAAAACAACATTCTTTGTTTATATAAATGTGTTAAAGAGTTACAGAAGCCACACATTAACACCACAGTATACACTAAAGGATAAATGTAGCTCTATGACCCTGCTGTTATTTTCTTGCTGTGGTTTTCTAGATTTTTTTTTCCTCTTAAGAGTAACTACAAAGACAATTGTTTGCTATTTCAACTTTGAACTCTCCGAAAGAATAATAGCAAAAGTGTTTTGTAACATACAAAATAAATAAAACCCAGAGAAGCAGCATTGTATACATTTTCCCGACTTAAAAGATGAAGAAGGTAATCTTTGTAGTGGTAAAGATGTAAAAAAGAAAGAAGAAAACAAAGATGTGGTGGAGTGCTGTCAATTCTCCGTTTGTCTTTGTGCAGCCATAAAAAATAAGTCTAAACCACTGGTTTGTAGCTCTGTACAACAATTGGATGCTTCAAAGTTGTTTTGTGGTAAGTGTAGGTGAATATTTGAATAAAACCTAGAAGCTCTACATCAACAAAAAACCTGGTTATACTAAAAAAAGAGAAGAAACAAGATAAAAACTTCACTTTTGCAGTGCTATTAATATCTGAAAGAAAAGGGAGAGAGGAAGACCCCGAAAATTCACTCTGTTGCCATCGGTGAACCCACCATACTTGGGACTTCCAGACTGCAATGAAAACACTTCAATATGAAGACAGTTACTGAATGATAAAGACCCAAATTTAGTTATTTTCAGCTTAAGTGCATCAGCACAATCAGAGAAATGCAAAAAGCCATCTGAAAGGAAATTAGCGAAGACGTGTCTGCACTTTATCTAGGCCAGGGTTCTGCAACCTTTTTCATCTAAAGAGAAATTTCTCTCCATATCTGACAAGGTAAAAGTCATTTAGAGCCACAGGATATTACATGACTCTTTCATCAAACAAAATCTATTTTTTTTTTTAAATTAAATATCTCTTTTAGGGAATCTGTTGCCATCTTTAACAACCAAAAGTTTATTGGTATTTTTAGCTTTTAAAATAATGTTAAAACACATAATTTCCAAGCTAATTAAAAGAAAAATGGCTCTAAAAACATTACTGATTGTTTCTATGTAATTCTGTTTTGACGATTCTGTTCAAAATATCCAATAAAATGGTATATTAAGTTTTCACAACAGTATATTTATATAAATGCCAACAATAAAAAACATTATAAAATCACTTTATAAAAACAAAACATAATCTCATGTTTAATTTTCGTAAATAATTCTTGCTCTCCTGAGGCGTTGTGAAAGTAAATCTGTGTTTTGCATGGTTCAATATTTTGTCACAAACCAAAACAAAAAAATAAAAAAAAAAAATAAATAATAATGAGCCAGTTAAATAATGGAAAAGCTATTAGTCATCTTTATACTTTTTAATACATAAAAACTATTTCTTTTCTGAGAGTGTTTATTTAAGAGCAACTGTGAAATTAGCAAACATCTAGAAATAGTACACTATATTATATAATTTTCCACGTGAATCCCAGATTGTTCATGCTTCTTTGCCTTTTCTTAAAAGTCCTGTCTTTATCCATGCTGGGTCAGTTCCTGACGTTTGAAAAAGGCGGCAGGCAATCACAGCAGCAGAATAAAGCCTTAGCCTTGCTGCATGCAGTTAGCTAAGCTTTGTAGCTAAACCAGATCCTGAGTGTACCGTCTCCATCTGTTTTTGGACTGATGATTCATTTTGATGTTTGGCTAAAACCTTTATATAGCAGAGGAGCTAGTACACATGTACAACTTTTAACCAGAGTCAATGGGCAAACATTTTTGCACCCCAGGGCGGAAATACGTCAACAATCCAATGAAAAATTTAATTATGCTTTACTTATCATTAAAGATTAAATATTTATCTTGCACATCTAACACATATATATCAATAGATTTGAAATATTTTAAATTTATAATTTAATTTTAATTTAATTTTGTCTTAATCAAGGTCATTGGGCTGGTGGGGCAGGACCCTAGCACCCTCTATTGGCCAGCCGCCACTGGTTAGCTCTTTATATCCTTTTTAGCCTCTTATATGATTCAATTAACAAGGTCCAAAGAGCCACATGTGGTTGCAGAACCCTGGTATAAACTGATAGAAAGAGCAAGATTTGATGTAGATAACAGGAAGACGTTTTGTTAAAACATTTGTCTTTGTAATCCTACTGAGCTTTAAACCTCTAATTTTCAAAGCAAACTGTGGATGTGGAAATGCTCCCAGGCTTTTGAAAATCCTAGACATCATCATATAAAGATCTGCATATTCAAGAAAATACAAACAGAGACTGCTGTTTAAGCAATGCTAGCTGCAATGATCACTTAAAGCTATTCCAGCTAAAACGTTCACATATTATAGAAAATTAAAAAGTAAACATTATCACCTCTGCTGATAACATCTTTTTGAATTTCAGAGCTTTCAAAGTTAAACGTTCCCCTAAAATACACCTCTGTTCTATATGTTTCTCAATAAACAGAGCTGTGTGAAAGCCCTTTCATGTTATTATCACATATAATCAGCGGACAATGAAGTATGGGTGGACTGAAATAGTCAGCTTATAGGAATGGAAGGAATGTTTGCAGAAAAGCTTTCTTGGTATTGAAAAAACTGGTAATAGAAATGCGTGTTTTGCAACATTTTAAGTCATTATATGTTTCATATACAGAGAAGATAGTTATGACAACATGAGATAGTTTGTTCCAAGGTGCTTCTTCTGCCTCTGGTGTTACAGTATAAATGGGGGACCCTTCTCCAGCTTTGAGGTTGAACATTCTTACAGATTTAAGATCAAGGTCATGGTCATACAAGTGGCACTTTGTTGGCCTCTAAAGCAGATGTGACTGAGCTCTTTAATGTTTCTATCTCTTGCTATTTGAACTTCATCTGACGCGAGAGAGAGAAAACAGATGCTGCCCTCCGTGCTACCCCCCTTAATGAACGTATGTAAGCACTGAGCAGAAAACAGCTCTGGTCCCAGCTGGGGATCAGCAAGAGAAATCTTGTTTGCACCCATCGAGGGAGCATGACGGACAGAAAAGCCAGCTGCTCTGGTGTGCAGATGGCATAGCTTGAATCCCACTGTTGATATCCAGTAGAAACAATCTAAGGTTTGGTGGAGCAGCTGGGATCTTGGCTGCGTTCTCTAATATCAAAATCACCGCTGCTCCCTCCAGAAGAAGCGGACACCCGCCCCCAGGAGACAGAGATGGTTGATGACAAATGATATTCCTGGATCTGCACCCACTGACCAAATACTTTAAATAACTTTTTACTGTGAAATGTAATCCTACTAAAGCTCAAATTATAAAATGATGACTTAAAGGACCCTGTTTTGACATACTGTGCTTTCGATGGTTCACACTATACAGCAAATAGATAAAGCACATTTAAAGAGATAGAAGAGATTTACAGAGAATGATACTGATAATCACACTTGTGGGAGACTTTAAGTAAACTTTGTGGTACATCAGAACCAGGCAGTGGCCAAAGAGTCAAACTGTGAGTACGGCTGAAGGAGGCGGGGACAGGACATGGAAAGCAAACACTTTGAAATCTGAACCACACTTGAACAACAGTGCACCTCCTTTATTCATAGGGGCTGAGATACAGAGGCAGCATTAAAGACCATATCAGTAAGTTAGACAGATTCACAACACTGCAACTTCATTTATGTTGTACATATACCTATCTTTAGTTGTATGGATATATAATTATGAATTAATACAATAATAATATATATTGTTAATTTATTGATTAAAAGTCTGTTTAAAAATGTGCTTAAAAGAAGTTTGTTTCTGTTTTTGTATTTAACAGAACGTGAGCTAGTGGAGCTGAATCTCCCTCGCATTTTTAATAGGATATTTTTCACAATCCTCTCCAGGATGCCGTTATCCCTATGGCTTGTACGTTTCTTTCAACAACACGTTTTCCTTCCCTTTGCCTCTCTATTAATGTGCCCAGACACTGAGCTCTGAACAGCCACCCTCTCTAGCAATAAAAGACAATATAAAAGCCAATTTATGTGTTTTGAGTTAATTAGCTGAGTTAGAGTGTCGCTCCAAGTATCTGCATTAGTGATCCTTTTCAACCTGTTTAAATTTTGACTTTGGGGTTTCATTTGTAATCTGCTATAATTAGCTACATTAAAAAAGCACTTCAAATACATCAGTCTGTGTGTGAAAGAATGAATAAATATAATATGAATATACACGTTTCACTTTTAGAATGGAATTACTTAACAGAATATCCTGGACATTCTAATTTCAAGGTCATAAAATTAGAATATCCAGAATATCTGTGATATCTTATTACAATTAAAATATTAATATTATGAAGTTTGATCCCTCTGAAATAATTAGTGAAAACTTAATATGAGATGGAGCACTTGAAAACTGAATGTGTAGATAATAAAAAAAAAAAAAGTGTTTTTATTAAATGGCAATCTGAAAACTCACCTTTGCTTTGCTGTCTAGGGCAGACATGTAGCCAACACACATGCTCTCTGTGGTGTGACTCCATAGGAACTCCACTGCAAAAACATAATAGATCTAATTCAAAAGACCTTTAATACCACAGAAAATGGATAGAAAAAAAGCTAAAACAGAACATTTTACTTTTCTAAAGTGAAGAAGAGCCTGGTATGATGCTAATTCCTAAAGCAACCATTATGAAGTTGGAGATGACCCAACTGTTAGAAGCATCTTAAGATGCTAAAAAATCTTAAATTATGCAGAAAGAAACGGTTCTGTCTTCAAGCTGCAGGTGGAAAAAATATTAAATTCTGTCAAACTAAGTTTTTCTCAAAAGGAACTGTTCTGCAAAGATTAGCATTGGTTATAGGTGAGAGGTCTGAGTTCGGATCTGACAGATGAACGGGTTAAATATAGCCTCACAACACAAGTTAAAACTCAGACAACCAGAAAGAAGAGCCAAAGTATCTCCTCCCACCTTTCCTTAACTAATAAAAAACAAAAATTATACTTAAAGTTACAACTTTCCCTACTTTTACGAGGCACATTGATTAAACACACAAAACTGTAAATAATAATGCCTTACCCATTGCACTTTGAACATTAGAAGATGGCTGTGCTTCCACGTTTCTGCAGCATCTCAAGACAATAACTCCACCCAGAACACGGTCTTCACTGGCCAAAAACGGTGAGCCTGTGAGGTGTGAACATAAAACCCAAAACTTTTACCTGTCTGCTCGACTTCTCCTTAATCAAGATTACAATATACTCGTAAAATATAAAATATAAAATTCGTCTTGGATGCTGCTGTCACAACAGGCGCTGGCCTAAGAGATCGTCCTGTACCCTACAGATTCCTAAAAGATATGCAGCATTTTCCTGCAAACACTGAAAACCCTTAGCTACCTCAAGAAGCACCGTCTGATGTATCCCTTCTGAACACAGAGTCTCATTTGTATCTCTGGTCCCGACAGTTGTCCAGGTTAACAGCGAGGTACTTATATACTGTATAGTCCTCCATCTTTCTCTCCCAGCGTGGTAACAGTATTCAACTGGCTACTGTCTCATCTGAATTCAACCATCACCCCAGTTGTTTTATTCACATTCAAGGTCAAATGATTGTTTCAACAAACAATTCTTTCTCATTGATGCATCCAAGACTGCAGAGTCATCCGAGAATTTCTGTAGATGAAAAGAACCTGCCTTGTACTGGAAGTCTAAGGTGTACAGAGAAAAAAGGAATGGCAAGAGTCCTTCAGTCTATCAGAAAGGGGTCACGAAAAGGTTGGGTTTTTATTTTCTTCACTACCGTTTTAAAGAGACCTGTAAAGATGATGGAGTAAATTAAATCGATAAAATGTATGTTTTGTCTCCACTGCTGATTGGAAGGATAGGAGCTTTTTTTTTTAAACAATAGTAAGTTGGTTTAGTGAAAGACTTTGTGTGGCAGTTAGTGAGAAAATACTAAAACAGGTTTGTAACAGACAGATTATAAGGTGAACCAGAAATTGAACAAAAACAGTCAATATCAGCTTTTAGAAAGGCATTGGTTTTCTCAATCCTAACTACAACAAAATGTAAACAAGCTTTAAACTTGATCTATTTATTTTCTTTTAAATTAGTCTTAAAAGTTCCCCAAGTTTTGGTTAAATCCTTTAGTTTTGACCTTCAGAGGTAGTTTTTCCTGTCTGATTTTTTGGAACAATTATTGAAACATTTGTTTAGACATAGTATAACCCCCTTTAATCAAATAAAAGGGATTCTTTAAAGAAATGTTTCTTCCCCCGTATGAGTTATTTGCTTTTATAGCCAAGTTAAACAACTGGAAGTGATTATTCTCTTCTGATGCAATTATAAGGAAGTCTGATAAATAAAAATATTCTACTGCTTTCATGTGATCAAAGTAATTGGATAATGACCGGTAGTGCAATTGTTGTATTCTTAATGATAACACAGCAAAAAAACTTTAACCCTCCTTTGCATTAAACTAAGCAAAACAAAGAAAGCACCTAATTTGTTTCATGATCAAACTGCAAACTTGAATGAGTTGTTGTATTATTCAATGTTGGTGTGGTGCAATAAAATTCAAGAAAGCTTGGTCTGTAAAACAAACTACAAACATATGTTGCATGAATGGCTATGTCTCAAAACAGCAACAAGAAAAGAAAAACATAAAAAATAAAAAAATAAATCAGGACCAAATGTTTTATTTGATGGAAATATTGTGTCTGCCCTGCACTTCTCTTGTGTCCTTTAAACCAGGCTCGCTTTCTTGTTATGATGCTCTTTTAGCTGCAAATTCTTTCTTTGGGTTGGAAAACAATCCTGGTATGTGTTTGTCACTTCTACTTGCTAAACACTCTGCAATATCCCAGAATTCCTTTTCAGGTTTCTTTTGCACGTTACAAGAACACCCAGAAATCACCTTTCACTCACTTCTCTCCTTTAAATGTATTCACTGACCCCTCACATTACCCAAACAACCTCCTGCCCCAAAAATGGTTGTTTTAATGAAAACATTCATCCTTTGAGTTCAGGAAATGGGATTCAATAGTCATCACTGGCTGCTTTTTTTTTTTTTTTGTATTGATGTCTAATACACAGTCCAGGAGTGAACCTGCAGCTTTCTAGAGTTTTTATACACAGTTGAGTTCAAAATCCTAATTTGTTTAAAACAATGAAAGCTATGAATTTGACACACATAAATACATTGGGGACACTTGCCATTCTAATCCAAAATAACATCCAAAATAATATTTTTCTAAGCCCGTAATATAAAGAAAATGGAAGATGAGGGAAGATGAGGGGATTCAAACTCCAAATTTTAAAGTATAATCCGAAAGTTATCAAATATGTTGATTTCCTATGCAGCTGTAATGTAATATTTAGCTTTATAACCATTGTTAAAACATGTTTAATATCTCCTCCATTTATTTATCAAATCAAAATTTTGATATTGGACAGTTGCTTCTCAAAAACCCTGATTTTGTTGGTCTGGAACTGATGTGCTGCTGTTTTATGCTAATCTATTTGGTTGTTTTCTTGTTGAAAATTTCACTTGAGGTGAATTTCTCTTCAGGCAACATGACTTCTTCAGTGTTTTGAAGGGTACATGCTGATCCATGATTTATTAAACAAAGGTGCGTGCTAAACAGGCCCGACATGATATGAGAAACATCAACATACTGTGTTGCCAGAGCAACCATCTTTCACAGTGTATCTTGGCTGTAATTCAATGTCTGTGGATCGCCCTCTGGTGATTTCATCTTTTAACTAAATGATGTGTTATTTGGCAAATTGTAAACCTCTTTCTGGCTTGGAGGTTTTTTTTGTTTGTTTTTTTTTAACAATGAGGTGTGTGGGGTGGCTTCCTGATGTCAGCTTGGCTTCACATACACATCTTCTTATGCTATGGCTCCCACAGGTAACCAAAGACCTTCCTTGATCAACCTGTTGTGCATTTTCTCTCTTCTCTCAACAGTATCAATTCCGATTTCCTGGTTTCCATTTATTTTATCCGAGCAGCCAATCAGCCTCTGACTTTCTAATACATGTTCCTTTTTCCACAAACTTTGAAAGCCTAAGTTTTACCATAAGAGCAACCTGTTTTCACACCTGCTTTTGCAGAGTGACCTCCCTGATTGAACTCCACGTTATTGATGTAACGATACACTTACTGTAGACTCTGTAGCATGTATGCCATGACTGTTGGGTCTGTTGGGGCTACACCTGTTGATACATGAATAATAAGAACAATAGTATGGCAGTGACTGATCTGGCAAGAGACGTTGGACTGCTATCATCTTCAACACAATACTATATAGATATCTAGTTTATAGAAATTGAACTCAAAATAGCCACTATAAGCACTGCAAAGACTAAAAAGGCTGATTATTGTCTGAATTATTTGAGAAACAGGTTTGACATTTTCTAATTGCAGTTGGTATTTGACTTAAAAGACGTTTATTTCTCCATTTCAAACCATCACTTAGCTTTGATTAAGTTACGCTGCCATAACGATTTATGAAGCTTTGTTTAAACCTAATGCGCATTCAAACAGAAACATGGAATAACATCAAACTGACCTCAGTGTTGGAAAACAAATACATTCCAGAGCCAAACATTGATGGTCGTCCAGAGACCAGAACAGGGCTGAAACCACCACATGTCTTTTCGGTTTGTCTCCTCTGATCTAACGCAGTGGCCATCCGCTGCGTGGCAAACACACTTAACGAGGATCTTTAAAAATGGAAACCTCTAGAAATGCAACTAAACTACACCTTCAAATAAAGATTCACCAAAATACGACATACTCTTAAATTATCTGTAGCTGTCCACTGTGATGTATGGACCTTCAGCTTAATATTTTATTCAAACAGAAAATTTGTTTCTTGATTTTTTCTTCTTTATGTTTCTGGTGGTTCTCTCATTCCTCATGAGGAGAAAACATCTGTTTGTTTCATTCCCTCAATTCTTCGCTGAAAAACGCACCCTTGCCTTTCAGTTAGCGTGTGTTTGGAAAACGGTGGTCATCAAGCTACATGAGTGTGACTCACTGATGAACTTGTTTTGCATAGCCTCCAGCAGTGCTTGGTGGGCATCTTCAGACTGCATGGCAGCGGAGCATTCCCGAGCCAGCATGGTGCGAATCAGATGCTCTCCACACCCTGGCAGAACACAAGATAAACCAAAGACGGTAAACATTTTTGTGTTGACACAGACTAAGTCTAAATGGCTTTAGCCAAAGAATTAAGCAGCTTAAAAGATTCAATTTCAGTTCCTCTAAGAAGTTGACCTGAGCTCTTCGCAGCCAGGAAGGTCAAATTAACTCAGAGGATTTAAGGATAGAATTATCTTTATTTTTTTGGGGAGAACAATTAGAAATCAAACAGGGTTTCTCTGTGTAGTTCTCAACATTCTAGACTCTCACATGCTTTCATTTCTAGTTTTTTTAAAAGCTGTTTACACAATACAAAATGTAAACGTTGAAACCTCTTGAAAGGTAGTTAGTTCTTATTATCTATAGCTTTTGCAAATATTGAAACACAATGCCTGAATTCCACTTATTGGAAGCAAGGCAAGTATATTTATGTAGCACATTTCAGTACTAAGACAATTTCAAGAGCTATACATAATGATAAAACACACAAAGAAAGGTACATTACAGGATAATAGTAAAAAAAAAAAAAATTAAATGACTGATAATAATAGATGAAAGTAGGGCTGCAACTAACGATTATTTTAAAAATCGATGAATCAGCCGATTATTTTTTTCGATTAATCGATGAATCGGACAAAAAATATTTTTTATATAAACCTCTTTATTCCAAAATAAACATTTAAGACAGAACAAACAAGCACACAAGTACAGGTTGCTCATTAACTGTACTGGTGCAATATGAAAAATAAATGTTTGTGTTAAAACTACGCAAACTTACATGAGAAATGTAGCTGTACATCCACAAAATATAAGGTACTTTGTTTCATAAAGTACAAAAAAAGACATTTTTGTTTTTAAAAGCCCCTAAGGGGTTCAAACAATAGTCCCCCCCATTTCAACAAATGAGTTTTGTTTTAGACTAGAAGAGTTCTGCCTTTTAAGACAGGAAAGGATAGCAGTTAAAGTTGCTACTTAAGAAAATACTTAACCATAGAGATAAAAATAGCCCTGTGATTCAAATTATAAATTGTATTTGGAATCAAAATGAGAGAACTAGGGGTGCTAAAAAACACATCCTCCAAAGACAGATATTTACATGGGAATGTGACAAATATAATTAATTGACATATTACTGATCTTGCTGCATTTTATTCTGCTTTACTTCCATAAATTGCAGAATCTTCTTTACTTTATCTTTGCCAGAAGATTTAAACTTTAAAAGCCTTGCCCTCATAATTTGCAAGTTAATTTATTTATAAAGAAAATATAAACGCTGCTTAAGCTAATTCAAATGAAATTAAAAGTAAAATAATTAGCCAACCTTATCACTGTCTGTAAGCTACTAACAAGGTAAGGAAAGCATCAGATGAGCTACCTGAGAAACTAACGATACGTTTCCCCACTTTAAAACGAAACAAACATGGCGGTTCCGCGCCATGTTAATTTGTTTTGACAAAAGTTGCATGTTACGACTTTTTTCACTTCACAAAGCGCAGGCTATTTTAATTATTGTGATCAATTTGCGCCCTCAATCCCGGCGCATGCGCGCTTCATTTGCAGTCTGGACGCTGAGAGTAAACATCCTGCGGCTCTGACAGCAGCGCTGAGAGGGACTCCTGCGGGAGCGGGAGAACGGGGTTGGGACGGGGGAGGCGCCCCACGGCAGAGTAGGAACGATACATGCTTTCACGTAAGAGTCTCCAAAAGCCGCCAGTGACACCGTAAAAATTCTCCAGATTTGTCGCTAGTCGCTTTTTTGAAAAATAGTCTCTGGAGGGGTCTGAAAAGTCGCTGAGTTGGCAGCACTGCACCTGCGGCGCTGACTCGCTCTGCCGTATTTTTTTTTCTTCCCCCGTTTCAGTCAAGTGGATGTGATGACGGCGGCGGCGGATGACGCATTAATCGCACGACAAAACTAATCGATGATGAAATTCGTTGCCAACGCTTTTAAAAGTTGATTTTTATCGATTTTATCGATTCGTTGTTGCAGCCCTAGATGAAAGCAAATTAGACAAAAAACTTACTAATTAGTTTTAGATGGCTCAGACAAAGGCCACTCTAACCATAAATGTCTAAAAGTGACAGTTTCAGGCTTTCACAGTTTTCCAAGAGTTTGTCCCAGATTAATACAGCAGTCAAAGAAACCTATAGAGCTTTTTCACAGACATTTCTGCATCAAGACTAACTTAAATCACTTCCTTTTAAAAAATAAAAAAAAAAACTCACAGGCCTTTAAAATATAGAATTAAGCATCTTAGATTGCATTCAGATTCTTTAGAGCTCATTTTTTTAACTTTGGTCTTATAGAAAATAACAGTCATGACTACATTACAATGTGGGTTTTTGATGCAATCTGATATTTCATGGTGTGGTTGGTCATACTATATGTAATAGAATTAAATACAACCTCTTCTGACTTCTTTCTAAACAGTTTAAGCCCCAAAGCGATCCCCATGCAAGAATTAAGACTAAAGACAAATAGCAGCAGTTTAGCAGACACAGTTACTGCTGAGGCAATGACGTAAAGTTCGGATTAAGTCCAACGTGACCATTTAGACGGAGGAGGCCTTTAAAACTATCCGAAACGCATCTGATTAAGTGCCACCATATATCTTTTTATATAAAACATATTTCTTTTGCTTTACAATGGCAACACACCAGTATCTAAGACATGCAAACTGTGATTTTTTGTTTCTGGGATTGAAATCTTCTCAACCCACTAAGCCCATTTCTTTTCTTCACCTTGGTAGCCTCAAAATTCTACCAGTGGTATATCTAGAACATAAGTGCATATCGATAAAAAAAAAAATTTGGATAATAATTCAAATATCCCAAAAAGACCAGAACAAGTTTGTGTTTATCAAATCATAGGAAATCTGTGAAGAGAGACGTTTTAAACAACCTTAAAGTTGCTTTGACATTTTAATGTCAATTTCAGTGTCCACATTTTGATTTGAGTGACCAGAAATGTTTCTAAAAGCTTAGATTCTTCCTTTCAGCCAGCTGACCTGCAGTGAAAAGGAATATAAGGACGACAGCCATCGCTGCTTTCCTTTCCAAAGTGTAGCCGGAGACAAATTCAGTTGTAAGAGTTTGCAAAGCATTGCACATGTACTATCTTATACTTCTACCAAAGTGAAGGCAGAAAAAAAAAAGAAACTCAATTGAAAACTTAGACCTTAGAAGCAGAAGTACTAAGATTGAGATGACTACTTTTTCCTGTATCAAAATCACACCCACTGAATGCTAACAAAACATGATCGAAAGGGAAGGCTTCTGTTTAGAGAGAAAAATGAATAGCATTCTGAAAGTGAAAATAAAACCCAACTGACGACAGAGCGCTTGTGAAACTCATAAAGGCAGAGAGAAAAATAAAGACTCATTGTTTCTGTAAATACAAATTAAAGCTCTCATAAAGCATCAGGTTACTACAACAGAACAAAAAGGAGGTTAGCAACTATACAAACCAAGTGCCTGGAGGAATTTCCAGGTCTTTTTTGTAAAAAAAAGGGGCTGCATTTCACCAGAGATCATCAAGGTGGCCCAAAGAGCTGAACAAAGATTTCAGAGAGGAAATTTGCAACAGAGCTGATGCCTCAATGACCACAGCAAAGTAAAGACCAGATGAAGCAGTAAAACTATGAGCCAGATGAGCCACATATTACAAATCAGACTGAAATGCGAAAGGGGAGCAGAAGGTAGAAAAGGAGGCGAAATAAATTGTTGCTTTTTGTTAAGTAGAAAAAAAAAAGAGTGACATGAAGGTTAAGGATCGCGCTCCTCGTGTCATACTAAAAAAAATATTGTTTTTTCTGTTTCTTTTGATGGAAATGCCTTTCAAGTGAAGAAAAAAATTAAAAACAGGCATTGTGCTGGAGCCCACACTGTGCTTTTCAAAATCGTAAGACTGGCTTTGTGTTGGTTACATCAAAGCTAAGAAGCCACAATATAGTAGGACAGGGTGAGGCGGAAATATGTACAGGGAGAGGCATATGCACTTAATCTACTGAGATAACAGGAAGGAAAGAAAAAACAGACCTTTACTAACACTGTGCTCTGAGCCTGTGGGAAATGCAACATGTACCTGAAAAGCATCTAATGCCACTAACTTTAACAAGCAGACAGAAGCAAGTAAAACATCTGCCATCTTCTTTGATTTACCAGGAAATGGTACACAAACCAGATTTCAGGAAACCCACCATGATCCGCCCGTTACAGCAGCAGCAGCCAAAATACAGCTTTAGTCTTTAGGACAAAATTTATTATAAGAAAAAGCTGCAGGGTGAAATACTCAAATATGTTTAAATGTTGCTTAGAGCAGCTTTATTTTCATTTTTATTTTAAAGCAACTGAACAACTGCAATTAATATAGAATAGAATAGAAAATCCCTATATTGCCCCTTAATGGGGAAATTGTGGTGTTACAGCAGCATTACAGCAAATGTGTTCTCACAAATATGAACCTTAAAAGTGTATAAAAATAACAGAAAAAGTGGCAGAGTTAGAAAATAAACAAAATAAAATACTGTACAGTGCTTTTATAAATATAATTACTGTGCAGTCATCTGAAGAAGAAATAATCAATATACAGCTGTGGACATTTTTACAGTAGTGGATATGTAACACCAGAGATGTGCAAAATAAAATAGTTTAATATTATAATATAATTAAATAATAATCAAATAATTTCTATATGATATTAAATACTAATTTCACAATCCAGTTTATTTAGTGCATTCATCCGAACATAGCAGAAACTGAAGAACATTAAGCTCAAGCCCGTCTGATCTGCATTGTGATGCATTAGGCCGCAGATCCACATCAAAAGCTTTCCAACATTCCCCAGAAGCTATGCTGCAGACATCTCCACATCTTAAAAGAAGACACATTCAACGGTTTCTCTACAGCAAAATTTAAAACTAGGCACCATACAGCTGGTTCTAAAAGCTCAAAAGAAGAGCAATTTCAGGTGAAACCCTAAGCTGGGGCTGCGTGCGATGAATTAATGGAGAGCGTATTCATTCCTATAGTTTCTTAACTTCTGACCTTTCTTTAGGTTTTTAGTCTCTCTACACACAGAGAAAGCAACAAGTGAACAAAAACCAGTTTCTGCCAACTTAGTAATGTGTTTCAAGGTAGAAAACCTGATAATTTAATCACATTTCTAGGCTGTTTCTGAGTATTATATCAGCCAAAAGGATATGAGAAGTACACTATGGATGTTTTTAGCCGATATCAAATTTTTTTTTAGAAAACATCCCTAAACTACACCCAATGGTTTTCAGTAAGGCCTAGAAGGTTGCAAACGGCTTAACGCTGAATGAAAAAAGGCACACCTTCATCCATCCATCCATCCATCTTTTTCCGCTTATCCGGGGTCGGGTCGTGGGGGTAGTAGTTTCAGTAGGGAGGCCCAGACATCTCTCTCCCCAGCCACTTGGGTGAGCTCCACCAGGGGAACCCCAAGGCATTCCCAGGCCAGCTGAGAAACATAGTCCCTCCACCGTTTCCTGGGTCTCCCCCTGGGCCTCCTCCTGGTGGGACATGACCGGAACAGCTCACCAGGGAGGCATCCAGGCATCCTAACCATATGCCAGAGCCACCTGAGCTGGCTCCTTTCAACGTGGAGGAGCAGCGGCTCTATTCTGAATCCTCCCCGGATTACTGAGCTCCTCACCCTATCTCTGAGGGAGAGTCTAGACACACTATGGAGTACTGCTACTACTTCATGTAGTAGTTTGTTTTCAACCCTCAGTGAGACACATACAGAAAGGCATAATCTAAAGCCTTTCAGGAACTGTGGAGAAACCAGACCCTTCAAACGTCTAAGTCCGATTGTTCTGGTGCAATCGCTGTGGTTACATCTACGTGGACAAATGACTACACCAGAGACTATTTGATTGATGTTATGGTCTAAATGTAGATAACTATTGATAGTGAGTTTTCCATTACAACATTCCACTCACACCAGTTCTCATTATGTCTTACAGCAGGTGTCCCATGTTAATGTCACTGAAAGTCCAAAGAGCTTTAGAATACACCTGGCATGCAGCTGGCCGACCAAAAAGAGGACTACGGCATCTCAATCAGCTCAGGAAGTGACTGATGAGAATCACTCAACAGGGAGAGTTAGAGGTAATCGGGAGGCACTGCAAAGATTTATTTTTCGGTCTTGACTCACTTTGTTGATTTATTTCATGATGTAAGCCCCTTTTAAAGAGCACTAGCACAAAACTGTTGTAGATGAAATCCCATAATTATAAAGAAACAGAAAGAACAGGAGGTTATACCTGAGGTACTCACTGCTGTAGAGTAAGAGTTCATGTTAAAGGAGTTTTCAGCCCAGCAGCCACATCCATAATGAGCAGCCTAGAATTACAAAAAGGAGAAATAAATATGCTGTTTTGCTTGATTAACATGAATAGAAAAATATTGACCGTTGTAAAAAAAAAAAAATGAGAAAGGAGCGGTGGAGTATTTATTTCAAACTAATTAGCAGCATCCCAGAATCTGGGCTGGTTGCTTCACTGCACAGGTGGTAATTCAGTTAAAGACAGAGAATGCTGCTATCTTCATCCTTCAGAGCCCCATGTTGGAGACATTTTCCAGTGGTGCTTCTTTTAAGGAAAAGCCAGGACTTCTTGTAATTGGCTCAAAGTGACACAATGATCACACACACATTTACGATCACAACGAGTAAAAAAAGCTATTTAGTATGTTGGTAATTTGATCTTCAGCAGGAAGTCTTGTTAATTTTGGCAACATTCATCAAAAAACCAGAAGTTTATTTGGGTTATTACATCTGGTTGCGGCAGTGATGGACTAACATCATAAGGAGTGGACAGAAACAGAAAGCTGTGGAATTTTAGTGGTAACAGCTGTTTGCTTATTCCTCCAAACTGCTTCCAGCTTTTCAAAGGTGCATTGATCAGTAACATTTCTGAGACTATGAGACATTAAAAATGTAAACCAACTTGTTCCAGGACATCTACAAGGATGCACTTGGTGGAGGGGACCAGTAGAGCTGCTTATTCTAATCTTTAAGAGAATACATTTATTATAATAAAAATTATTTGATCAAACTTCACGTAGGTGGCAACCCTTAACTTTTCTTTCCATCTTTCAGTGTAAGGTAGACATTTTTCAGTAAGAGATCTAAGACAATATTGTTGACCCCTTCTATTATTTTACACTTTAAAAGCACAGATCTATGACTTGTCAGTCTGACGTCAATCCTTCAAATCCTTTGTTCCAGATTATATAAATATATATTTCAATGTTGTTGTTGCCCATAAATCTTAAAAGGGCAAGATAATGGGCTAAAATCTGTTTTTGCAATTCACAGTTTTATGAAATAGGAGATAGAAACTTGGCTACAAAGTTCTGCTCGGTGCATCACTACTTCAGAGTTCTCCAAAAAGAACATTAGTGTACTAGTACTAGAGTGATAGTTTGCCAATGAACCCAGTATAAACAAAGAGCAGGCTTGTTGGGATATTCTGCTCTGGAAACATAAATCAAAGACATAAATTTGGCGACTGTCGACATCAAAAGCAGCGTTTTAGAGAAGATTATTATACCAAGTTCAATGAGGAAAATGTTCTGCTTTACTGCCCTAGGGACCAGCGCTGGCAGATTTAGCAATGAATTAGGCATCATATCAAAAGCAGGCATGTTTTACAGAGTATAAACTGAAAGGGATGTTATTAATCAGAAGTATATGCAAAATAACATTCATTAAAACATTCCAAAAAATAAGGACAGGGCTAGTTTGAGTGTACATCTGATTTATAGGTCAAATGAGCAGGACAGTTTCAATAAGAAATGATCTGTAAGATAAGACAAGCAAAGGAACAACATGGATCTATTTGAATGGCAGCTTTAAGCCTCTTTCCCACTGAAATCAGCTGGATAACCCGGGTTTTTTATACACGGGTCAATCCGCTATAATTTCCCATTTGGCTCCCTTCCCATTGGCAAAAAAAAAAATGAGTCTAACCTGCGCTGGAAAACCGCATCGTCTCTGTCCCCCCACTGCTGCGTGTCTGGTGGTGCTATCAAACTGGTTTAGTACTGACGATTTTACCAGTGTGACAGAAATCAGGGAAGTAAACAATGGAGAGCAACATCGAAGGAAGCCAGGGCGTAGTAAGTGTGCTTTATTGTTTCATTCTTTTGTCCCTCTGAATCTCTGTCCAGCTCTGCACCATGTTTATCGAATGCAAGCAGAGTTATTTTGGTTTGTTATATCACACGTAACTGGCGAGGTATGTTGACGTCCATATGTTGTACTCAATGAAAAATAAAAAATTAGCGGGTCGAACTGGATCTGATGTTCACATTTGGGCGTATTTAATAATTTTATTCCGGCTCGCTTGCCGAGTCATTTGACCCGGGTCAATGAGTCGTTCCCACTGCCACCAGAACCCGAGTGTTCCAAAGGTTTAAACGGGTTTTGGGGCTAGTAGGAAAGGGGTATATATTTTTTTTTTAAATCATAGATATATTTCAACTATTAGAGATAAAATTGAGGGGGGAAAAAATCCAGGAAATAATATTGTAGGATTTTAAAACATTTTTTTATTTATTTATTTTTTTTAACCAGCCACTATTTGTGGGAGAAAATGTCCACCCTAGTTAGATAGGACCTTTATTTATAGTGCCTTTGACCTTTATCCATGCCTCTCAGCCTTTCCCGCTTTTCTTACAACACAACCACAAACTTTCAAGTATTTTCTCTAGATTTCATATGACACAAAACACCATTGTTTCAAAATAATATCTAAAATATTTTGTATTTTGCATTCAGTTCCCTTTTATCTTATGTGAATAGGGTTTATTGAACGCGACTGAGCAAATTCTTCCCATTATGAAGCATAGTAATGGGAGCATCATGCTGTTGGAATGGTGCTCTTGAAGAGGGAAATTAAATGTAGTTAATAACCTGATAAGGGCTACAAAAAAAATGACAACACAGGGGCACTGGATCCTCTACCACCAATTCTCAACATATTTCAAGAGCTAAATTTAGATGGTTTACAAAAAGCATAGAAAGGTTATTCAACTGAAAGATATATATACTTTACAGAATCTTTGGAAAGGCTTGAAAATTACTATTTCCAGACACTCTCAATAAGCTTGAGCTAGAAATGTATACTCCTAGATTTGATAGAGACATACCCGGAAAGAAGTGCAGCTGTTATTCCAGCAAAAGATGGCTCTACAAAACAAAAAACATGTATTGTGTTTACTTAGAGTCACGCACTACTTTATGTTGGTCAAATATATAAAATACATGGATGTTTGTGGTTGTGGCATAACAGAATGGGAAAAAATTTTTATATGAAAGCTTTTGAAAGGACAGTGCAACTTTCTAGGTGGTGGGTTAACTTTTTAAATGTAGAGAAAACAAACAATAAAAGTATCACCAGAGTAGACCATCCATACCTGGCCAACCCTGCCGGGATGTTTCATTGCTAGGCCTCCGCTGGACACAGCTGCAGCCACATTCCCTTCTGAGTCGATCACAACAGCTCCAACTGTGTCAAGGCACCCTGAACCGTTTTCCTACATCAAACCAGGAAAGAATAACAAATTGCACACTTTAAAAAAAACATACGCATAATCAAAAATTGCCCAGAAAAAAAAAAAAAAAAAACATTAAGAGACTGCCAAAAATAAAAACTGGGTTTGATCACTTACAAAAAAAAAAGTCAAGGAAACCATAAATTGACGAATTCCCTTTTTCTCCTCCTTCATCTTTAATAAAAAATCATCAGCTGTAATTTTAATCGGTTTTCTTTCCCTGATTGCAGTTCATTTTAGAAGTGATTTGCTTGTGAACACAAGTCCGGAGTGGATGATAAATAATATTCTGGATCTTAATGATGCAAACTGGCATCATAACGAATAATCACCATTCCACATTCACCAGCACTGAATACTTAAACATTAAATAAAAGGGAGGAGGAAAAAAAAAAACAATACAATATGGGCTTTTCTTTTCCATGCTCTCTTAAATCACACATGTCTCTGTGGTTCTAAGTCCAAAAGGGGCCCAAGCCAAATTGGCTATGCTAACTACTGTCCGTTACAGAATCGCTTTTCATTTCTACCATAAATGTTTGCTGCAAAACATTAGGAAATTACAGTTATGTAAATAAGTTGGAGAGTCTTTACATTTTTTTACTTTACACCATCAGTACACAGGTGTTTCTTCTGCCATGAATTAAAAGGGGGGAAGGGAAAGATTTTATTACTTGGCAACAAGTCAGAGAGGCATAAAAAGAACATTGTGCCTAGAATTAAAAACAGGCCGGCATAACATACTGTTATACTCAGCCTTGACTCTGATACCTTATTATATAAAATCTGTTTGCTTTTGTTTTTTGTTCCCTACTAAATGTCAGTGTATCTCAATTGCAGAGTTAAAACCAAGTATAATTTATCCATGGCATCAAATAATCACAAATTAATCTTCAAGTAGGTCACGCATTATGGCAAAGAAAAACAAGCATTCCCTTTGTGCCTATTAAGAATAACAACCATTTGACACAAAGATTTATCACTGAATCATTGGTGGCTTGAATAAACAAGTAGGCCATAAAAGCTGTTTGCTTTCTTTTGGATTAAACATTTTCTAAGTAAAATATGATCTAGATCTACCAAAGCAAAACACGATTAAAAAGACATACCATTGAAGTTTGCATAACTCATGTTTACAGACATTTAACAACATTTGTATGTGATCCAAAATAAACGTTCCAACCCTCTTCTATCCCGCTTCCAATGGAAGGGAGTTAACAAGAGAATGGTACATGCTAACAGATAAGCCTGTCAAAATAATAAATTCTGCTGAAAAAATATATTCTCACCCTTAATCAAAATACTGTCGTTTAAAAAACCAATATAAACTAATTTTATGACATCTGCTTAATAATGCAAGTATTCTCTCTCAAAAATCGATAGAATAAAAATTTTAAAACATTTTGCTCATTTTAAATACTCCAAATAAGTCAGCTTTACAATAAATAAACTGGACTCACATTCTCTGGTAACATAAATGCAAATAAATAAAAATGAAACAAAACTATAAAACAATAAAATAGATATGAAAACTACAAAATCAGAACAATAAATAAAATGGATTGCGAAGTTACTTTGAACAAAGATGTCAAACTAAATATAAATCGTTACACTAAGACAGGAAAAATGGGAGAAACTGTGTGAAAAAGTGAAAACTAACAAAAAAAAGTGTTCAGTTTAAATAAGGAAAGATTCATCAAACAGGACGTGTGAAAGGTATGTTTTTCGAGGAGTGTCAGATACTTGCAACATATTTAGAACGTCTTTATTTCAAAGAAATTAAAGGCCGGCACCTCTCTGGAGATTAGGCAAACAACACTGTGGTTATGCAATATTTTGCACTGCACTTTGTGTAATTTGGTTGTTTATTAAACATTTCATTGATTGTGGACTGTAGGGAAGGCGGACTTCGTCCCAATGGCTTTAGTTTTGTTTTTTTTTGTTTTTTGACACATCAGGGAAAACTCCATTAGGTGACTATGGTTTAGATGTAGATGCAGGTTTGTTTTAGTGCAGCGTTGTTTCTACTTGTTCAATAATAAATGTGACATACCTGCTCCAGCAGGTTTAATGGTCTTTTTGGTCTTTCAGCGTTCAAGACATTCCAGCAGTGACTTAATGTAGTTTTCATCTTTCTTTTTGAGAAATATCTAAATCTTCTGGGAAATTAAGTATCGAAATTCATCTAAAATGAATTAATTGATGGCTGGTATTCTTGCACTTATGCACCCCCAGAAAAAAAAAAAAACTTAAATCCTTGAACCCTGGTTGTGGAGAGGCATACAAAACAATAGCCAACCCACTTTGCCTACTGTCATAGGTGGAGTGGCTATTTGTTTGTCAATCAAACATTTTGCGTACATGCCCTACTACGTTATATATGTAGGCTTCAAGCGTAACGGTCCGCAATCACGCTGAAGCAAGAAGTACTCCTACGCTTATTTGCTGCTGTGGCTTTTTTTGAGATATTTGTTCACTCTTTTGCTTAAATTTGAGCATCATTGGCCAAAAGGAATTCTGTCTAACCTAACCAGTAAAGAAAGTATTTTTTAGATATAGTTGAAAAGAGGCGAGAAAGTGGGAGAAAACGGAGCCGGCTAACTGTGTGTTTAGGAATTTTTTTCAGAGATGGTGTACCCTGAAGGGTCTGAAAACGGATGCTTTGGTCCCAAAACTTCTGCTGGTCAGGTAAATTACATTTACTTCTGCAGTAAGTACTGTATTTTTTTAAACATGCAGCAGCAAGAACACCAACAAATTTGAAATTTAACTTGCAGTGATAACGGCGGTGTTATGCTGAGAAAAACCTGCCTGCCAAGAATTGCCTTCCCTATCATGGGAGGGCCTATCGCCCTAAACTTTCACACATTGATGAGAAAACGGATTGATGAATGAAAAGGGAACTTTCTAATATATTCTTAATGTTTTCATATTTCTTATGCATTCTTTATCAAAATTACCAGCGGAGGAGTTTCCAGTGTAGAGAACTTTTGCAAAGAACGGGGCACTGCACTGCAAAAAATCTAAATCTAGATAACTTAACTTTTTCTTAAAATTAGTGCATTTGTTCTTGAATTGAGGAGTTAAAAGAGACATTTTGCCAATGGAACAAGACAATTTACACTTAAAATAGGAAAACACAATTCCATTGTCTTATTTCAAGTGCATATTATCTAATTATCTTAGTTTAAGACTAAAACTACTCATTCCATTGGCAAACTATCTCATTTACCTACTCAAATTAAGGGTGAATACACTTAATTTAAAAATGTTTTACTTATTTCTAGATCGTTTTTGCAGTGTGATGCATGCACACAATTAAAAAATACACAAACAGCAATTGGACACACAGCATCCTCTTTCCTTCCTTTAAGTCAAGAGGAAGCAAATATAGTTTAAAAAAAAGGAGTTCCGAGAACAAAGCCCTGTGGCATCCCACATTGCATAGCATATGACGGTACAGCTGTAACTCATCTAAATGATCCTTCAAAATACCTTTCATTAAAAGGATTCTAAATGATTAACCTTTGATTTTGTCTTTCACCATTTTAATTCTGTTGTTTCTTTTTGTTTAAAAGACCTGTCAGCAACTATTGTATTGCTAGATTTATACAAAATTATTTTTATTTAAATAAAGTTGTTAGGAAATTAGACAAGCATCTCTCAAAAGCAATGGTGACATCCCATAATTAAATCCTGTACAGGAGACACTCCTGATACTACCTGGACTCTATTAAGATATCCTTAAGCTTCTTCATAGAAACGTATTCTTTCTTTTTTGGAGGGTAAATGTTTGAAATGGGGGCCATTTTATCGTTAGTTGAACAATTTCAAGGCAAGCCTTTTCGATGAGCATGTTTCCTGAGAGGTAAATAATTTCATTCCAATCCTTTTTAAAGCAACCACCCTGCTCTTCCAATTTAGTCAGTATTAGAGCAAGATTAACTGCCTGGATCCTGAACAAACAAAAAGATCATTAAAATGGATCCAGCCACTCATTATGTAGGAGGGCCAATTATGATTCAAATTAGGTTTATGTCATTAAGTTCATCTAAATTAACTCTCACTAAATTTGAAAATAATTGCATTTCATCCAATAGCTCCTGAAAGCAACCAAAGATTTAATGCAGAATAGCTCCAAGAAGAATAAAAAAAAACAAGGTTTGTGTCACAATCAGAACGTCTCTCCACCAACAGGCCAACTTTTTTCTGTCAGGGAGGGGGATTCAGATTTTAATTTTGATGGACAATATAAATATATTGAATAAAATGCTGGAAGAGAACAGACCCTTACTGTATATGCTAACAAATAAAACTCACGTTTTCACTCGATTGTCGTCTCTTCTTTGTCTGGTTTTGTCCTGCATCCATTTTCTCTGCCAGCTCCATCCTTCGCTTATTCCTCTTGTATGCAGATAAACTGAACTCTGGATGTGACAAAATAGGGCCCAATTGCATCCATATGAAGGAAAGCAAATCTTTTATCTTGCGAACTTCAAGTTAACGTTTTTTTTTTTTTTTTTTTTTACTATAAACAAAATCTTTATTTTTCATTTGATTATCTCAACAACACTCACTTGTTGCCATATTCTCCGAAGGACATGGAGGTATTCCGTGGCTTACTGCCCAATCATGGGCCCCTCGCCCCACCAAAAAGCTGCAAAAAGGTAGCAAAATTAACAAAAAGAAAGCTGTGACAAGGCACTCATTAATTAGGAGCCTTGATAGTCACCAGGGTGGTATTCTGCCCGCTGAGAGCTTCCCCTTCTGTGCTTCAATCAGGAGACAGTTTGCAACTAAAACTGGGTTTTTTATCCCTGGGGGAAGAAGAAGAAGAAAAAAAAAAAAGACATTTACAATATGATATTAATTCAAGCACTACATTACGGTTTAATGCAGTCATTTAGCTATAAGGTTTTGAAAAATAGTTAATACCTCCTTAATTTTTCCCCTTTTAAAAACCACAAACTATAAAGTACTTTTTGACATAAACTACCTAAAATAGTGACCAGATGAAGATGATGTCTCCAAATCACCCTAAACACCATGTGACAGTGAAGCTAAATATTGGTGAAAGAATTATACTTTGATTCTACAATAAGAGGAAAGCTTCCCAGCATGTATGGGAAAAGAAGACTTGTTAGTGGCTGTTAAACGCTTTGGAACGCTCTTCTTCTGCAAAAAGAACTCTAAACATTTAGCAGAGGACAATAAATTATTTGTTCTGATCAAAACATATCTATTTTTCTCAATGCCCCAACCCGGGCCTGGTTTAAACTTGAATAGAGAATAGCTGAGAAAATTAAAAAGAAAAAATGTCTTCTAACACTATCCAATCTGTCAGCTCTTTTTCACATCCCCATAAAATATTTGAAGTTTGCTTGTAACGTAACAGAATAATAAAAAATAAAAAAAGTTTCAGGGGTGCGAACAGCCTAGGCAGGGAATATAAATCAAAGTAGAAGCAAAAGTACAAAAGCACACAATGTATAGAATAAATTTAAATATGTGTCAAACGAAATTCTCAAAAACGCATTAGCAGATGTGTTGAATTGCACATTTTGTCCCCATTGTTCCACTTGAACACCTGTGAAGGCTATAAAGGTGGCGGTCTTTCTAAAACACATCTTGCTGAAATCAGAATCCTTATGAAACACACACGCTGGCAAGTATTCGCTGGTAAAACAAATAATCATTTAATAATAAGTTAGTTGACATCATGCAAGACGTAATGAAAACAATCTGTTGTCTTCTGAGCTAAATTTTAGATTCACTGTAGTTTGGAATTAATTAGAAGTTTTGGTCCAAAAAAAATCCTGTATTCAAAATTCAGAAGGAAACAAAGCTGAGCGAATACTGATTTATTAACGGTCAAAGGTAATTAGTTGTACTAAAAATGTAACATCAATGTTAAAACCCAGAAGCAGCAAAACAGTATAAACTGCTGCAGTTGCTGTGTGATATTAGAGTATATCAAACACATATCATAATTTAAGTGCAGAAATGCAAAACTCACCACTAATGGCTCCGACTGCACCAAAATGAAGCGACTTCCCATCCATGATGCTTGCATCGCACTCAATTTCCCCCGACAGATTCAGGTTGGAGCCCATGCCAGCGTTTGTAAAAGGAGAATCCTGACAGCAATTAAAATAAGCAGAAGTAGTAAATATAAAAAAAAAAAAAATCGTATCAGGAAAATAATTTTCTTTTCTAAGAAAATATGCCAACAGCGTTCACCCTTTTTGAAATCTGCTAATAAAAACTCAACATTAAACGTACCATTTTGAACAATAAAATACTTTTTATCCAACCAACCTCTAGTTCTACAAGCGCAGCGGTCACGGCCTCCATAGCAAGTGCCCCTGCTCTCAGCTGGTCCACAGCCTGAAAAAGACAACAATTAAGGACAATGGACAGTTCCCACTGCACCCATTCAGCGTGTGTAACATCATGATCCTAGCTAATGGAGAATATGCAAAGAAACAGCTATGTTTGGTTTGTATTTCCAAGAATTGCCTGGATGGAAGGCATGGCAGACATATCAATCTTAACAGAATTCCATTATTGGAAATTCTCTTATACTCTTTAAATGACGGACATAACTTTGCCCCAGAATGCTCTCACAACAAAAACAAGAAAGCATGCAAGTAGCACAGTCCAAGCAAATCCTTAGCTGCACAGAAAATATGTTATATAAGTGAGAGAGTTTAAAGCATCTGATAAAATCCCAGTGGGGAAAATAATGCTTTATTGCTTAACTTTCAAATGACAACTGATTATACTTTACCTTTATGACTTAGTAGTTGGTGGGCCAAGGCTATGAAATTGTGACACTATCATAACCTTAGGCAAATATTTCAGGATCACTGTTCTATAATTCAAAATTCCATTTCTGACATGTCTGAATTAAATAAAAAAGGCTGGATAATTTTCAATGATTGCTGAATTGTGGTCTGATCTTTAGCATAACCTCTATAGTCAGTTCATTTTAATTGTCAATGAAAACTTAGATCATGGTTGACCTGCCGTAATTTCTCTCCCTCTCAGGCTCTCATTCCCCTTTAAGTGCATGTTCATATTCAGCAATTTCGTCACCTATAGAAATTGTTACCTGCACAAAGTCTCAACAGAAATGACAAGCATAAAAAAGGAGAATTGGTGACCAGCACAATCATCAAGCTGTCTGTCTCAGTAACAAAATTATATTTGTTTCATTAAAGCCTGATGCTAAAGTAAGCTTGAACTAAAATAAATTAAATATAATTATAATACTGTCTGTATTAATAATTAATTATTGTTCACCTCTACTTCTTGACATTATTTTAAATGTTGCGACTGCAAATGCTGAAACTGTGGTCTTAAGTGTCACATTTGGTCTGTGAAGTTTTGATTGTGATTACCTTTGATCCCTGATTAATGATACATCATCAAGGGGGCTGTTGATTGTTAATTCCATGATTCTATGATGTTGAAAGAAACAACATTTAAAGTTTTCTTCTATGATTAATATCCTGGTCATGAGCTGATATTAATGGGTTTGTTTAAAGGTGACAGTGAAAACGTCACCTTTTCAGGGGGAATTGTTAGGATATGTATCGTTGAAGATGTGTGAGTTTATCACACCCTGGTCGGGCAGCCTGTTGCGCATCAGAACTGACGTTTTAATCTAATTAGGACAATATCTCTGTCTGGATATACACTTATAATCTTCACTCTGTTTACGTGGCAAAGATTTGGAAATGAAGTGAGAGCAGTGTCCTATTTTGATAAGGCTGGCGCCACGGATGTCTAATCATCTGCTAACGTGTATGATGTAAAATATGATGATGTGGCAGACTGGAGATGTATAAAATGCCCTTTTAACTATAAATCAGGGCCATTTCCTGAGAGGTGAGCCCAGAGGTGAGCAGCTGCCATTCTGTAACCCTAAGCAATTTCTCTGATCAGAGTAAGATTACAATTTCTATTAAAATCTGTTGTCATTTCTCCTGGTTATTTAATACATATAAGTTATGAAAGGTTATTTAAAGTTTTTCCCACATGATCACTTTTCAGGGAAAAGAACTGGAGAGAAAAGAGCATCAGGGTGCATACGCAGAGCCTATCTTTAACAATCTCATTTCATTAAAGAACCATCTAAGCCTTGCAAAGTAAACTTACCCGCTGGCAGGCTCTTTTACACACATGTTTATACTCCTTTGCCTTAGATTCAGAGTGGTATCCTGCTCCTGGAAGCCAGGAATAGAAAAATATAATTATTATAGGGAAATCACTTAATTATGTGTTATAGCTCAGGGACAGCATGCATTAAAACATAAAAAAAACAACATAATTTAATAAAAGGGGGTGCAAATAAAAATAAAAAACTATGTATGAGCATATATAAAATAAAATTAATCAAATAGGAAGGACAAAAAGAAATAGTAGAAGAATTGTGAAGTGAATGAAAAAATATGCAAATTACAGCATGTAAAAGACCTTTGGAGATATTATGATGATGATGAGGGAACTTACCAGCATGCACCAGAACAAATCCACCAGAACATTTTAGCATTTGACTCCTGCAAGCTTCCTGTTGGGAGTTGGTGGTCACAGATGAAGGCTGCTGCTCTTCAGCACAATTAATTGAACTTTCCATAACCTCGACATAACTTCACAAGCCTACCATTTTCTGTCACGGAGCCTTAACAGAATCATTTCTGAAGCATACCTGCAAAGAAGCAATATTTCTCTAAAAACATGAGCAAAAATAGCATTTTGCAGCATTGCTGATGTTGCACTGAGCCTTTGAAAGAAGATATGGGGATTGACAGCTCAATTGATATTTGCTTTAAATATTCAGTGTAAACGGTCTTCAAAATAATTAATACAATCTTAATCTGTATTTGACTGATCCAGTTGAAATATATACTTATAATTTGCAAAATAAAATCTAAAAACATATTTTCAGACATAAATGCATTTTATCGGGACGTTTATGAGCTTTTAATGTTTCAAACACATACACGATGTGTTGTCATACCGACTGCCGGTTTTTGCGTTACATTCTGGTATTTAGGGTAAAAATAAACTATATGTTTTTTCAAACTTTGACAAGTTGTTCTTACTGTAGCGAGTTAGCCAAAAGCTTGCTAACACAACAACAAGATCCTTCCGACTTACAGTTCTTCCTCCTCTCATATCTGCGAGACAGCTGGTTCCTACCCTTCAGTTTACCAGACAATGAGCATAAACACCCGAACAGTAGCCTCTTCTCATCATTTCATTAAGAAACTTTCTTTTCAGACTTTTTTTTTTTGGTCCCACAACAAACCAAAGCTAGTTAGCTGAAGTAGGCTGAAGTACTTCCGGGTTCCCGGTTGCTAAGGAAGTGACGTCTTCAAACATTGGGGACACGTGGACGTAAGGGCGCAAAAACTAATGGGGAAAACTGTGTAAAACTAAGTAAGAAAACAACAAACAAAAGGTTAAGAAATATTCTATTACGAGATGTTATTTTTTCACCAGCTTGTATATTTTATTGGTCCAACACTTATAAATATAAATGTGAAGTGGACTTGGTTGCTCCTTAAAAAAATACTTAATAAACAATACCCGTAAGATTTTTTTTTATGACTATGACCTGGATGACTGAGAACCTTCATCAGCAATACCCGTAAGAGAAATTTCTTATAAAATTATTCATAATGTTTATCATGTTAAAGCATTTTGATAAAAAGATATAAATGAGATTTGGACCCAATGTAAACTTTTTGTTAAAAAATAATGAAGAAAAGCTTATTCATCGTTACTTGTTTGGGAGAGAGAAATGTGAACTTGTCAAAACAGGATTTTTATATGTTATACTTTATTTCATTATTTATGGTAAATATCATATTCACACCTCCAAATATTTACAACAAAAAACTAATTTCCAGATTTTATTATCTTCTATTGATATCTATATAGAATCCCAAAGTTTAGTTCAAATGCTAAAGCCATGCAATATAACTGCCCTTAAAGAATTATTATAACCCTCATGCATAGATTAGATTTTGACATTTTAAAATAATAGTTATGTTCGGTAAAGTCCTTTGTTGTTTGTAATTATTAATGTTCTATATTGTTCATGTATATTCTTTTTTTGCAATAAAAAAACTGTGTAATACTAAATTTCACACAGACGATACAAACAAAAGGATCTACGATCTATATATATATATATATATATATATATATATATATATATATATATATATATATATACACATATACACGATAGATAGATAGATTCTAATACGAATACATTTTAATATACATGTGCTTGTATATTAATGTTCCCTTGTGTTTGCAAATCTAAAGCTTAATGGTGCTAAAATCTTATGTAACTGAATCTGTAGTTTAAAGAGAGTGCAAAGAACTGTTTCATATTGACGACTGATGGAAAGCATTGTCTCAACAATAGAGCTGTCAGCTGAAGCTATGCAAAGGAAGTTCCTTCAAAGAACTAAGTCCAAGTCTAGCAAAAGATCACTGCATGAAAACTGAGATTTTCGTCCCCGTAAACCCCCGTAAACTCCCGCAGATCTGCCTGATTTTCGTCAGTTTCCGACAATTTGCAACCCGTGCTTGTCCGCGTTTGTCGTGCCACAAATTGTCGGAAACGTACCATGACGTATGTGGAGAGCGATCAGCTGTACTAATGGCCCTAATTAGCATATTAATGCAGCAAACCCGCGCGGCTGGCCAGGTCTGGCTTGAATAACCTACTCAGTATTGGCTGAAACCACTATTCTCAAACAAATGAAATCGCTCGTGATTGGCAGCAAAACCACACGTGGCCACGCCAGGCTTTAATTTTCTTACTGAGTATTGGACGGAACCACTTCTTTTTAAACAAGTAAAGTCGCTCGTGATTGGTTGGCATATATATATATATTTACATATATATATTCATTCATTCATATATATATATATATATTTATTCATATATATATATATATTTATTCATTCATATATATATTTATTCATTCATATATTTATTCATTCATATATTTATTCATTCATATATTTATTCATTCATATGCTGTGTATTTATATTATGCTACACTACTACACAATTATTATGCTACCATCAAGGACATGAATGAATTTATACAGGAAATGAAGATTTGCCAGGAAGCTGTTTATGCAAAGAAAGAGCTTTATTAAAACACACACACAACTATATACAACGCGTATCCAAACACATGCGTTTCTAAAAATTACAACTCCGTGAACGGTCCGTTTGCTTCCTCGGGGTTGGAGGTAACAGGCAGCATTCCCTCCGAGGCAGGTCCGATGTGCAGACGCCTACTGTGCGTGGCCCTGTACTTCGGCATCGCTTCTAACCGGGACTGCAGCTTAACACAGAGTTCAGTGAGATCCGGCCTACGAAATGGCGGCGACCGTACAATCCATCCAGAGACACCGCCGACGACGCCATCTTCTTCGTCGGACATGAGGTCGACGGTGGCGGACTTCCAGAGTTCCACTTCCTCATCTGCCAGCACACTCTGCCTCGCCTTCAGCAGCTGAAAAAAAAACAATGAATCAGCGCACTGCATATGGACACAACACATCTATCAATGCACCTGAAAAATAGTCACCAAATAAAGTCTTACCCTCTTTCTTCTGGCCCGACTCCGAGCAGATTGCCTGGCAGCCTCCGCACGCAGCGTGTTGGCTAGCAGCGTGTATCTGAAGCTCCTGCGTACCGTCTCATAATACGTCTTACAGGCAGCTGGAAAACAATTAAATGAGAGTGGTATGAATAAAAAAAAAAAATCAAACGCAAGTCACAGTAACAAGGAAGGAGAAAACATTAAAACAAGTCACTTACACACAATGTCGTCTTTATCAACATCGTGCAAATCTGGACTTGCCGAGATGGCTCCGAGCAAATAGGAGGTCACCGCCTCATTGTGAGGCGACTGTAGTCTGTGAAAAAAAAAAAAAGTACAGCTATGGTCGGTATTTATCCGTATCCATGTCCTTTTACCGCAGAATGAAAGCATATTCTTTAAACCTTACCCCTGCTCCGGTTCATAGCGCCTGCAATTAGTCTCCGAGTTGTTAAGACGGCATACTGCTTCCTGTGAATCACAAAAAATACACTTTAATAAAGCTTTAGGCTAGGCTGCTTTTAGCTTACCTAGCTAGGCTAGGTTGTCTTTAGCTTGCCTAGCTAAGCTAGGCTGCTTTTAGCATAGCTACCAGTAATCGAACATATATTTACCGCTAGCGTGGCGTTGTGCACCCGTCTTCTCTTCCTCGAGTTCGTATATCCCGCAAAGTTGCTCGACTGCAGAGCCGCCATCTTGTCCTCTATGGACTGCAACCTGGAGTGCATCGAATTCTCCAGCTGAGTGAGGCGCTCATTCATGTCGGCAGTATGCTGGGTAGTCCGCTGATAGCAATCAGCAGTTTCTTCTTGTCAGTCTGCGGGCTGGCCGAAAGTTGTGGACTAAGAGCAGTTGGAGGCGAGTTGAACGCGAGACGTCGTGCAGCCATTGTTCACGTAACAACAAAATACAAGCACGGTAACTGGAGATGAAGTTCTGAGTAAAGTAACACAAACATGTCTGCTAATATGCTGGTCTCGCGAGTAGTCATAGTGCACAAAAGCTCACACGTGATTGGACGATGGGGCCGAAGGCTCATCAGGCTCCTCCAATCACATACGACGTCATTGTTATACGGAAGGACTCGCAAGAAGAGCTCGCGTCGCTCCATTCTGGAAGGTGGCGGTAATGCACCTATAAATTGTTTGCAATTGCAATTGTTTGTCTCCATAAGATTGAATTTGAGCAGGTGGACATTAGAGATAATAAATGCAACAACAAGTTTTTGAATCAATATTCTATAAATAATATGTACCCAGGAAGAACAAAAAGCACAGCTCTCTTACAAAATTTTAAGAAATCTATGATAGTCAAAATTAGGACAAATTATTTGAAATTCCCAATTCCTCCTAAATATAAAGAATTACAATTTAAAATAATAAATAACATATAGCCTTCAAATGAGTTTTTAAGAGAGAGATTTAAGTTTAATGTTGAGAATTGTGGCTTTTGTACAACTCAATTGGAAACAACTGAACATCTTTTTTATGAATGTAAAGAAGTATTAAACTTATGGGATCAACTTCGAACCTTTCTGTCTTCTAAAACAATAAATTTAGATTTTATTTCCTGGCAAAACATTCAATTCGGTTTATCCATTAAAGAAAAAATTTTTTGAATTTTTTATCAATATTCTAATAATTGTAACAAAGTATTATATCCATAAATGTCGCTATGCAAAATGCTCCGTCTCAATCTCTGCTCTCAAAAATTAACTTTCCCTTTTCAAAAGATGTCTGAGAAAGATGCAGAATTTAAATGCAATTAAATTGTTTGAGTTAATTGAAGAATTTCAGTTGGTAGTCCCCACTAATTAATTTACTTTAACTACTATTATTATTTTATTTATTTTTATTTATTTTATTTTATACTTTGTTCAAGCCTGTGCATTTAACTTTATTTTTGAAAAGCAGGAGTTGTGATATTTCTTCTTGTATTGAAATATTTGTTATTGACTTGTTATTTGAGATTGTTATTGTTTTCTTATATATTCAATAACAAAAAAAAAAAGAAAAAAAAGTAGAAATCTAAAAAAAAAAAAATAACCATTACAGCCAACTGATTCTGACTAAAACTAATTTTTGAAGTAAATTATTTTGTGTATTTTTTTTACATAACATTTGCATACACAGTAATCTAGCGTACTTTAATTAAATAAATCAATTCAAGCTAAAATGTAAGAGTCTATAATTAGGCTATACTGAGCCTGATCTATTTCTACCATCTATTTGGGGGATATTTATTGCCACACTTTGGGCCACTTAAAACCAATTTAGCATGCTGACCTATGTCCTTATGACCACAGTGTACCAATCTTCTGATGGCTACTTCCAACAGGATAATGCGCCATGTTATAAAGTGAATCATCTCAGAATCATTTCTTGAAACTTTTCCACTGAGCATATTGACAGACAACATTTTATTTTTTATCTTAAATGCAAATTTAAAAAAAAAATAATTACTGCTCTAAATGTATTGCTCTGTCAGCTAAAGATCTGTTTTGGTCTCTATACTTTAATTAAATAAATCAATTCAAGCTAAAATGTAAGAGGCTATAATGAGCCTGATCTCTTTGTATCAGAGATTTTCTTACCCAGAAAGATGTCACTTGGGGTAAAACCCCCCCTGCAACCCTGGTTTGCATCTGTATAGCTCACAGCATGTTCATTTACATGTTAAAGCCTCCCCTAGAATTCCATGGGGGGGAGGCATGGGGGGAACACTGCCTAAGAAATTCCACGTCAATTTCTGACAATTTACGGGAGTTTTCGGCGAAGCCTGCAAATTGCCGTAAACTGCCGCTAACCTGAAGTTCCACGACAATCTACAGTGCCGTATATTGACGAAAATCCCACTTTTCATGCAGTGGATGTCATCTGTATCCAGTCAGCTGTATCTGGATTTTGGAGAAAGAACAAAAACAAAAAAATAAGAAGGGGAACAAAATAAGACACCCCACACCCCCTCCCGCCAAGAAAAAAAAGGCATCAGGACTGGAAGAACTGAAATCAATGCACAACAGATCAACATGAAAGGCAAGTGTGCAAAAATTTGAAGTCTGTAAGAAGAAATACCTGAGGGAAACATGTAGGTAACCGTAAACCATTATTAGCTACTTAAATAAAACAAAGTTACACTGACAAGCGGCCAGTGACTCTGAATTGTTGAATGGAAGCAGCATCCAATGAGGAATTGTGGATCTGAGCCATCCAATATCCTCCTGAGACCCCAAAAAATTAACTTTCCTCTAAATCATTTTTTTATGTTATTTCCCATCAATCCAGACCTAAATGAACACCTTAAAATTTAGCTTGTCCACTGTAGTGGAAAACAGGAGGATTTTAGTCTGAAACGCAAACTGAATTTATTGAAATATAGAATAAATGGTTCATTTATGGAGAACTTTTAAGACACTTTTCTTATTCCTTTCATCTAAAGTAGATGTTACTGAATTCTTCTCTTCAGATTTTAACCTACCTGCAGCATTTCTTCCTATAAGAGTGCTGGATTTTTAAAAGAAAAAAGAATTAATGACATGGTAATCTAATTATACAATTTGGCAGATTACAAGGTCAGGTTGGTTTACAAGGCTCCATCCTTTAACAATAGTCATGAAACACTTAATAATAATATGAAATAATTAATCTGTATGTATGCTCTGATTAAGTTGCCTCTGTAAATATCAATATCTCTGTAAATGATTTGGCTAATGCGCTCTAAATTGGTACTATATAACTAAACTAAATTCAGAATCTGTTTAAAGCTGTAACAGAAAATTGTTCAGAGACAGGAAATCAAGCATAATTCACATATTTCTCCTGAAAAAATACTTAATGAAGATGTATATCTCAAACTAAGTCTTTCCTGGAAGAAATTGACATGAAGCCCTATGTTGAGTTATTGATTTGATTTCTGGGACCTTTTTTTGTTCTTTAGGTCAAGAGAAATTCTTACCGTTGGGTGGTTGCTAGGCAACGCTACCTTTTACCTTTTGGAATGTTCTAGTTAATGTCACCGTGTTTTGACTGTTAAGACCACCCCCCCCCCCCCCCCCCCCCCCCCCCCCCCCCCCCGTGTGATGACTGTTAAGACCCCGCCCCCGTGTGATGTCAGAAGAATATTTAGAATGTTCTGACATCACTGTTCTAAGCTCAGAATTACTTTCAACTGCCAGAGTAACACAAGGTCTACAGGAGTTCAGAGCGTTTTGGCTTGAAAGTAAACTGGTAATTGCTAAAATACACAGAAGACAAAGATTCTGCAGATATTTTTACAACTTTAGCCCTCATGAGTAATCAAGAGAACAGCAGAATGACACTAGAAAATCCAAGAAAAAGAAAAAACAGCACCATAGATGAGACCCCGAGAAAAAAGTTTAAGCTATCTACAGGGGATTGGCACTACATATGCTGCCTGGACCAGATCAGTACAGTGAGAAGCAAAAACAGGAAAATGTTTGAGCATGGAGACTCCACCGCCAGAAAAAAGTTTAAGGTCTCTATGGGGGAAGAAGTCTACAAAAGTTGCCTGGACCACATCAGTACAGCATCGAGCCGTTCCCCTCTGAGTGAGTACTTAACAGAAAAACAAAACTTAAAGAAAAGGAGTCTAAAGAGAAAGGCAGAGGACTTTCTAGAGTCACCGAATATGAAAAGAGTAAAGACAGAGAACACCAATGATGAAACAGAGGATTCCCTTAAAGCCAAATTTACGGAAACCTATGTTGAGCAAACACAAATTGGAGAGGGAGGCTGTGGATCTGTTTTCGCTGGTTATCGTGTGCATGATAAATTACCTGTAGCCATCAAACACATTAAAAAAGACGATGACATGCTAATACATGTGGATGAGAATGGAAAGCAGATGCCCTCTGAGGTAGCTATCATGTTAAAACTGAGGGATAAAACAACCAGTTCAGTGGGGCAGTCAGCTATCGTGTCCATGCTAGACTGGTATGATCTGGATGAGGAACTGATTTTAGTTATGGAGAGACCCATGCCTGCTGAGGACCTCTTTTACTACATTCAAAAACACAATGGTCGCATAACGATGAAGAATGCCAAGATCATGATAAAACAGCTGCTAAAAGCATTAATTCACCTTCAGGAGGCAAACATATTCCACAGAGACATTAAACTTGAGAACATCCTGATAGAGACCAAGTCAAAAGTCCCAAAACTTTATCTTATAGACTTTGGTCTAAGTTGCTTTGATGACCAAAAACAATATGATTATTTCTACGGTACTCCGATCCATATCCCACCAGAATTCAAAAAACAAGGGTTCCTCAGTTCTGGACCAACAAATGTGTGGCAGGTGGGCGTAGTCCTGTATTCCATTCTGCACAAAAAACAGTTCTTTACTAAAAGATTCCTGTCAAATAAGCTAAAGATCAACAAAAGGCTATCCAAGAAATGCACAGATTTTCTAACAAAGTGCCTGACAGTAGACCCAAAAGAACGCCCCACCCTAGAAGAGCTGTTACACCACCGGTGGTTGTTGAAAGAAGATACACAAATATAACCAGAAAACAGCGGCACACTTCATAAGAAAAGTTTTACAATGCAGGAATTTCACAATAATTAGAGGTTGATTTGTCCAGCTGTCCTAAATTTCCCTCTTAGTGCAGGAACTTAATTCAGTTTGATATTCCTGCCTTTTATCCAGGTGCACTGGTTCCCCCTTATTGCAGAAACATCCTTTAGTGTAATTGCAGTTTTTTGGGTTTTCTCTGGGTGCTCCAGTTTCCCCGTACAAAAAAAAAAAAAAATCTTCCCTTTTGATTTAAGTTAAATTTAGTTTAATGTTAATTTTGTGTATTTCCATTTGGTGCTCTGGTTTCCCAATGTAATCCAGAAAATGTCTATAACTTGATTAGAGATGTATTCCCTTCTTGGGGGGTACTTCCCTCTCATCCTAGAAATGCTGGGAGCTTAAACTGAGATCTGTGGCTTTTTACCAACTGCTCTAGTTTTGCCATATTACAGAACCTTCCCTTAGTTAGACTACGGTAAAAGACATGAGAAAATATAAAAAAAAAAAATCTAGATGTATACATACCAGGGCACTTGATATTTTCCTAATCCAAAAACTTGAAAGTGGATTTATTTTTTAATCTACCTGTTTTATTTAGTTTTTGTTACCAAGTATAACAGCATATTAAGAAAAACAGTTTTTTTTACATCTTGTCTTGAAACTTCTTGTTACTACCTTGGCTTTCTAATCCAGTTAACCTGTTTTTTTTATAACCATTAGAAGATAATATGCCATGGACTTGTTTCTTCCGCTCCATTTATTTATTAACCTGACCAATGTGTGAAAAACGTGTTAAAATAGGTTTCTCTGTGATTATTAGGCTAATAAAAGTGACCACCCTCTTACCCTGGGATTTTTTTCCTCTCTCTCTACAAAAAAACAGTTAACATTTTAAGGCCCTATGGAGTTTTGTGAGGAGCCACATCTTTTAACCAAGTTACAGCTTCATAAAAGTCACAAGCTTCATGAAAACTGACTCTTTTAACTCAGCATACATGATTTTAGTCATCATGTCTTTGAAAAGTGCTGGTAAATGTAAATCATAAAGTCAGAGGAGCATGAACACTTTTAAAAATACATGTTGGGCCATTTTAACTTCTTATTTTTTGATGGGGCATCATTTTTCCCCCGAATGTCCAGGCTGACCCTTTTCTACATGTTAGACCTCTCAGAAAGAATGAGCTAGAAGACATTTAGAAATGATTGCTTCTGCCTTAATGTGCAGTGTTTGGTTTGGATCAAGCCAAAAAAGATGAAAGAGCGCTGTTGGTCATTTAATGTAAAGAAGGCTGTACTAAGCGCTGTGCACTGAGGCGGGGTAAATTAGCCTTTAGGGATAGCATTAGCATTGCATACCAGCATGACTGCGGAAACTTCTTCAAGCTGTTGTTATTGGAGGGCAGCTATACTCCGTCCAGGTTTATTTAATGTGATCTCCACCACCTTACATGGTTGGACATACAGCTTATCTGCAGAAGAGTTTTTAAAAGTAAAAGTTTGCAAACATCCAGTTTCAATGTCTCCATTTCTTTTATGCCATTAAAAAATAATATACATAAATCTGATTGTTTAAAAGATGCACAAAGTGCTGTTGCTTTGGGAGAAAAGGTAATGTAAAGCTACAGGCCAACTTTGTATAAGCATAAAACCTGAAACAGTCGGCAGAGATTTCACAGCGTGCATGCTTTGTACGTCGGAACGATCAATCCGCACTCAGTCCATTCAACTGGAGTTCACCCTGTGATCAAGAAGAAAATTCCTGCTGCTCTGAGCCGGCAGAAAGCAGGCACGCTCTGCTATGAGGAGACATGCTGGATGGGGGTTTTATTAAATGAAGTAAAATAAACAGAGGGAGTAGTTGCTACATATTTTTGCCAAAGCTGGAACCCACAAGAATTTCGAAGGAAAAGAATCCTCACAGCATGGTGCTTTTTTATTCTGACCTCAAACCCATTCTGAGCTTGTAGACTAAACAAAGTACCACTCACTAACCCATCATCCTCACATGAGTGCATTATGACAAATTCATCCAATAACTAAATAAGTGAATCAATGCAAATACTCCTGCAAATGATGATGTCAATTCTAAACGACATTTAGGTAAAGCAAGCAGGAAATATAAAGTCTTCAGAGATTAATAGCCTTCAGGAGGTTTAGTGAAGCTTTAGTGAAGGAGAGTGTGAACACTTAAACAAGCATACTGATTGCAGATGTGTGTCAGATTAAGTTTTCAAATACCCACAATGACACACACAACCACACACACACACACACACACAAACAAATAGTTCATGAGAAATTCAAACTATTTCTGCTTTACTTTGTGAGTTGTTCTTCACATCTGTAGGACAGATGAGCATAAGGCATGACATGACCCACTGAAGAGAAATGTGCACAGAAATGTTTGATTTAGGGAGATGGAAAAAAACAACAACAGCACACTGTTTTAAGTATGAGAAGATGGTTCGGAGGCCCACAAAACTTTTCTAAGGGTAGAACAAGGGACATGGATGTATTGCTTGATAAAAACTAACGTAATTAGGTATATATACTATCTATCTATATATATATATATATATATATATATATATATATATATATATATATATATATATATATATATATATATATATATATATATATATATATATATATATATATATATATATATGTACTAGATTTCTCGATAAAATCGAACGTAGTTAGGTATATTTAGCTGGGCTTGCGAGGGTTGCATGTGCCTATCTCCAGCTGTCAAAGGGCGAGAGGTGGGGTACCCTTTAGAGGTCGCCAGTCCCCGGGCGGGGGATCGACCTTCTTGCTGCAATACATATGCATATATATATTTATATATATATATATATATATATATATATATATATATATATATATATATATATATATATATATATATATATATATATATATATATATATCCCAGGGTGGTCACTTCACCAAAATTACTCCAGGAGCACAGTAATGGCTAAACCAGGTGATCACAAAGAATCCAGAATTACATCTGAATCACTGCAGATGTCATTTTCCATAAAGTCAACAGGAAAAAAAAAAGTTTTGGAATAGCTGAGTCTACGTTTGACTATAGTGAAATAGAGTAGCATAGTCTTAAAATTGCCCATTCCTGCTTTAAAACCTTTCGCTGTCCATAAAAGCTTGATGACAGTTTCTGCTGGTTGAGTTGGCAAAGCCTGTTATAGTGATAACCTTGTTTTCAAATGCTCTGTGCATTCAACCAAAAAGTAATGAATTTTTGTATTTAGAAAATTTATCTTCGTTTGATAAGAACATTTGATTGATGATGTGACACTTAAGAGTGTGACAAAAAGAGCAAAAACTGGAGAGCTGCAGGTTAGAAAACACCATGCAGCACTAATTATATGATAATGAAAACCTTGTGGTCTTAAATTCTATCACAAAACACTGTTTTAAAAGAAAATTATATTCTATGTTTAGACATTCAAAAAAAATCATATCTCAAGTCTAGAGTGAGAATTAGTTTTGGTCTCCATTGTATTCTCTTGAGCCAGCTGATAAAAATGTTATTAAAATAAAGTCTAACCAAAGCCTTTGGCACATGCAGAGGGAGCTACGTCAGTGAAAGTACAAATTACTGTTGGATATAATATTGCATAAAGCCTTGACTTTGTAGGAGACATGAACATGATGTAATCCCTTCACAGTAAACAAACCAAAGAGCATAAAAAAAGATCAGAATTGCTCTGGGATTATTAACACAAGGGCACGGAGATTTGCTCAGTTTTATACCTATGATTTCTAAGGCCCCAGGGCACAGTTAGGGTGCATGATGATTGTAAGCATTATCCTTGAGATAATTGCTTTATGTTGCCATCTCCCAAAGTGGGGAAATGACAGACATACATATCAAAACAACAACAGCTAAGAAGGAGGCAATGTTCTTCCAAGTGACTTGTAGGTGCAGTCAGTGCCTTTAATCTTCTTGTATCCATGACAATAACAACAGCCTACACAAACTTACAGAAATAGATCCTCCTCTGTTTGGAGTATACAAACTACCCTGCAGACAGAAACACAGCCTGAAAGGAAGCAGCCAAGTATTATCCTGTTTTTGAGTTTGTTTTCCCTGAAGATTACCTACTAATCAAAAGATGCCACCGGATAAACGGAGAAGTACAAAATAAATTTGTTGTGGCAGTTTTTTTTATATCGAAAGATTTCCAGCTTTTATTTAACACTATTTTGGTATTAATTATGTCCAAGAGGACATTGAAATAAAAAAGTTCTCAAAAAGTCAATAAGGCATAGGATTCAAACAGGATTAAGCTATTTTCAAAAGAGAAATGTTCTGTTGTGTCATGGGGGAATGGTGGCTGCTGACAGTCACCTACACCCTCCAAAACAACATAAAGTGTCAAAGCACCGATTGCTTACGATGCTGGCTGCTCACCAAATGATGTATGTAAGCATTTTTGTTGGGATCAGGAGCTGTACCACCTTCCTCCAGCAGAGTGCGCCGTGGGTCTCCTGGAGCTGGAGTTTTCCAGCACACCTGAGACGCATCTACTCATCAGGAGACCTCTCCTTTATAACAAGCTGCCAGACCTTGCTTCGACGCCGCAGTGTTGACCTAGTTTGGAAACCTGTCTCTAGCCTGGAGCTCTGGATGAGCTTAACCTGCCAATCTGCCCTGGAGAGCCTAACCTGAAGATTCCTATGTGGATTCCCCTGCTGCTCTTAGTGAAGAGCTGGAAACTCTGATCAAGGTCTGCCATTCAAAGTCAGAAGCTAGACGCTGCAGCTGCTCTTGAACTCTGCTGTACAAACAGTCTCTGGACCCAAAGGTTCCCTCTCTCTCAAAGAGAAGCCCGGATTCAGTCAAGGTATAATTCTGAATTATCAAAGACTCATACTCATCTGCTTGCCTCCTAATCAAACTATCATCTCTGCAGACTTCAGTGAACCAGCCCGGACCAGTTCCAGACCCAGTACATTATCTTGTGTTTGTGAAACATTTCAATAAACTCTGTTAAACTTTCACCCAGCCTCCGTTGTGTTCTGCGTGTGGGCTAAGAACATTAAACCCATCATGACCATTTTAATAGAAAGTAAAAAAAAAAGTGAGGTAGGAAAATATAAATGAATTGTGCTAGAAGATATTAACAGGTCATGGGAAAACATAAAGCATGATAAGACAATAGCTATTACTTTTGGTTGTAACACAAGGATTGCTGAATCCTAATGGTTTACAGATA